TTGAAGCACCTTGTGCTTGAGTTTCCGACGCAGTAGCGGAGCTAGTCAATTGGTAAGGCTGATGCCTGCTGTCATAGCCCGGAGGAGGTTCAACGCATCATAGTTTTTTCCCATGAGGTTGACTGGGATTCCCATCATGACTGCCACGCGTTCCACAGTCTCAAGCGCATCAGCTGGTTGCTTGGCCCACCATTCCTCCGTCTTGGCAATATTGTCGGTGAGCACTTTGCGTTTTGCATCTGAAAGTGCGAGCTCTTTCAACCACTTGTTGAAGGCTCTGACTGCAAGGGTGGGTGGCATGTTTTGAGTGAGCCACGGATTGACACTGGTGGTGCCGACAAGGAGGGATGAAGGATCAAAGCCCGGTGGTGCAGGAGGAGCTGGTTGTTGAGAGCTTCGAAGAAGAGCAGCTTGGATAGGTGTAGCAGCAGGGCTGGATGCTGGAGGGCCAGTGGTGCCCGGAGATGAGGAGTCGCCTGGGGTTTCCCCGAGTTGTTGTCGCAGCTGGGCAAGTTGATTCCGGAGTTGAGTCAGTTCTTGTTGAGTGTCAGGGTCTGCCATCCGGGTAGGAACCCAAGTGTGGATCAGGTCTGCGATCTGTTGAGCAGCGTACTTGGTGTTGTTGGTTGTGTCCAGCAACTTTCCATCCTGTCTGGCTTTGCAAGATGACACCTTGTCAAGATCCACCCCTTTGTTCCGTAATTGGGTCAATAGCTCCGTCATAAATACCACAGCTGCGATGTCCCCCGTAGGAATCAGGTACAATTCACGCCCATGAGCCAACTTCCGAAGCCAGAAATTGTTGGCCTGCTGATATAGTAAGGCCACTACCGGAAGCTTCAGTGGATCGCATCCCTCGATGTCGAGCTTTTGTGTAAAAGCTGAAGGTCGAATACTTCGAGGGAAGGTCAAACCGTTGATCTTCTGATTGTCGTAATGGTCTTGATCTTCTTGCCAGTGAGGATTAAGATCGAAGCCATATGTACGACCTTCATCAGTGGTTGTCTGTCCCCCTGGTGACTTGGAGAATGGTGTGCCGGAGTGGCGAGGTTGTGACGACGGGATTGATGGAGTGCTGGGCGAAGCCAGTTGAGTAGGGGCACATGGAATCGTAGGTGAACATGGTGGAGTGACTGATCTGGATTGACGTAGATAAGCAAGTGTTGGTGGTGGTGATGAAGGAGGTGCAGGTGGAAATCTTGGATTGGTTGGTTGAAGTCTTGGATTTGGCCATGTGGGCATCGAAGCTGATGGATCAGTTGATGTAGTCATCATATAAGGTCCCGGCTGGCGCATATTGAACTGAGGCTGGAACTGAGGTCTGGACTGAGGTCGCAACATCTGTTGAGAGTGCCAGATCGCTGATTGCATAGGACCACACCATCGAGGAAAGAACGGAAGATCTTGCCGTACAGGAGGGCGAGAAGGCTCAGGTTCAGCTCGATTTCGACCAGGTGCTGGTGAGCGGGATCGATCAGACTCTGCCATGGTGGCGTGGGTAATTCAAAATTACTGATGGATCAAAAAGGCTGCGGTGGTTGCAACGATTGACAGGATGAAATGAAATGGAACATCACATTTAGGGTGCATGGACCCTTTCAAACAGAGTTGGTATGTGCAACAAAGCCACGAAACAAACCTAATGAAAAGAAAAGTTCACAAGAGAGAAACACAAGTTAAATAGGCAGGTCAGCAGTTGCAATCAAGCAATTTTGCCAATGCGTTTGTCCAGGAAATCCCTAGAAAAGAAGTCACGATCCTGTTTAGGACAAGAAAGCTAAAGATACACGATCTGAGAGTGCTGTCGTAAGTGCTCAACGTTTATGTTTGGCTGCATGCCGTTCCTCGTTGGCTCGATAGTTGACATTGTCCTCAGAGTCGGTGTCCCTTAGTTCAATAGGGCGCCGTGCCAGTTTGTCATCATCCTTGAGGTCTGACCATTTGATCGCGATGAACTTCAGCCCCACGTGGTAGCTGTGAGCAATCGTGTACTTCTCAGGAGTGGTGACGATTCCCTTTTTAGCTACATTGAGCTGACATTTCTCGTTCCCTCCACCGCGCAGTGAAAGATGTTCCACTGATCCTCTGTAGATCGCCCCAATGGTGATCTCTTGCTGGCCTTTTCCTTTCTTCTCCATAGAATCGAGCAGTTCTTGTTCTGCCCATGATGGGAAGTTCTTGTCAGCATTGGCAATCTGTCGGCCTATGTAGAATGCTCCAAAGGTGGGCATGTGGCATCTCTGTGGATTTTTGTGATAAGCCCAGTTTGCTGGTCGAATCTTGCCCTCCATAAGGATCAGCTGTGCGGTACCGAGGGTCGTACCATGGCCAAGTGCCCATGTGACGAGGGTTTGGCCGCCAAAGGGTCGGGGCATTTGAAACCGGCTCATTTCTGGCAGCGGCATGACCAAGGCCAGCATGCCTGTTTGTGGAAGTTCTCGAACATAGCAGGCGGACATATCAAAATCTGTCAGGATGCCTGTACTCGACAATAAATGTATGGCCTTTCTGCCAATGTCTGTGGGGATTCTCGGATCCACGTTGGTCAATTCATCCATCGCTTCATCAAAATGCTCTTGGACAATACTCGTGGATGGTTGTGGAAGCTCCTTTGCATCAAGTTCATTTGCCGCTCTCATCCGATCAGGATGGGTGAGAGCATGTCTGACTTGGCGAGCCCATTCCTCTTTGGAACCTTCTTGAAGGTTGATGGCAATATGGCCAGGTGGAAGAGTGGAAGCTCGGGACTGAGCGGAACCAGAGCGATTGGGATGATTGCCCTGGTTGTGGGAGTGCTGTTCCAGCGAGTATGCCGTCAAAGGCTTTGAAGGATACTTGGAAGGCGGTTCATCATAAGATTGATGTTTGTAGTGTGGCTTGGAATAGTCGATCCATCCGGAGGGATGCGTGTAATATTGAGACTTGGACTGATCTTTCCAAGACTGCCAAGACTTCCACTTTTTGGTGGAGCCGTAGTCAGGGTAGGTGGAGTAGTCATGGTAGTCCGACTTGTCGGAAATTGAAGGTTGTTCGTAGTGATGGTCATGCCAAGATGGAGGTTGCCGTGTAGTGGATGAATAAGTATGATCGTCACGACGTCGATGTTCATCACGTTGATGTAGGTCTTCACGATGACGTGGGGAGTTTGAACGAAGAGTGACTGACTGGGGACGGCATGGAGACATGGAGCCATCACGTGAGCGGGAACGTCGACGATGGTAGCGGGAACGGCTATCCCGTCTGTGACGTTTTGGACTTCTCGGGATCGAAATGGGACGTTTGTCCACTTGAGTCGGAATGTGTTTTGACCGTGACCTGGAATGGCGATGAAGCCGTGGAAGTGGTGGCAACGGGACAACGGGTGGAGGCTCTGCGACTGGAGTCGCTGGTGGAAGTTGTACCACACTTGGATGAGGACTCTTAGACCTTTCTTTGGTCATTTCCATAAACGCCTGCATGCCGGATTCCACTGTGTGGCGCATCTGTTGCATCATCTCTTCTGGATTGAAAGTGGTGTGTGGCTCTTGTGGAGCGGGTTGAGATGGAGTTGGAACAGGAGGAGACTGGACTGGTGGCACCGTTGGTGGCTCAGGTACTGATGGAGGAGTCTGATGAGATGCGGTTGGTTGGGAAGTCTGATGGAATGGGAGAAGCTGCTGGAGTTGCTGAATATGGGTCTGAGCTTGGGAATTCAACTGTTGATGCAGTAGTGCATTTTGGTCCCTTAACTGAGCCAACTGAGCTTGAGTCTGAGCTTGTGACTGAGCTTGAGACTGTTGGTTCATCAGATCACCCCCACAAAATTGACCAAATTGTGCAGCAGGTTGAGGTGAAGTAAAGGTAGGCGCTGACCAGCCACAGTTCCACATGTTCTCCGAAAAGTTTGGCCACCGACCAGGAAACATGGCCAAAGATTTAACAGGTCTGGCAGCACTGTCAGACGATCACTATAAAGTTAAAACATTAACATTGGATGCATCCACAACGCATGCAGTATTCGTGATAAGGCTCAAAGGCCCTCGGCTTTCAAGTCACAACCCTCTGGACGGCTTAGATGTGCAACCCCTGAATTACGTGCACAATTGAACCTCACCAACGACCATAAAAAGAAAAAAACACCACACCTGCAGGAATGTCCTGAAGCCTTCACATGGTCACATGTCATGGTGAACTTGTGCTCCGTACTCTCTTGGGCAATAGTGAAAACGGATGTTGTCGCAGCTTCAGGCTATGCAGCAAATAGTCAATCAGAAAAAAGGTGGTTCCCAGGCACGGCGGGCAGCAGTTCAACCAAACGACTTCGACAGGTGAGACGAGAATCGAAAAAAGGCCGGCAGTTCACTTTACTTAGGCGAATTACTAATTCAAAAGTGTAAATTCAGACATCGATTTACTGTCAATTGTTAGCCTGGAAAGGCTTTCCCCGAAGGGTTCCTGCCAACTTGACGTATACAGCAGGAATGACACACTTGCTCAGAAACAACATTGCGAATTTTGTTGTGGAGTGCATCACACGTGCACAAAACAATCCCTAAAAAACTGCCAGGAAAAATTGGTTGATCCAGCGTGAATGTCAGTGCGAAGTAAACTTTCTACGTCCTTGCTCTGAGGAAGGTTCTGATGCAGCTGAACCATTCATACTTGATCGAAAGTAATTCCAGATTGCGACAACAGTGCAGTAAATTGAAATTTCAAATGAGCGACGTGGAGGTTCTTGGGTTGAGCCTCTTCCCATTCCAGTAAAAAATTGAGCAGGTACGTGGATTGAGCGTCCCCAATCCATATCACTGTGCAACAGATGCGTCTTCGTTGGATGGAGACATCTGAAGCACACTCCATCCCCCTGCAAGTATGATTCAAAAACTAAAAATCACGAAAATCAACCATCATCGAGCCAAAGGAAGTTTTACATCTTTTCAGATGTTCCCCCCCCCCACACACACACATTTCTGCAGTGCTCCTCAAACTTCTCAATGCTGACGCTTTACTTTGGATGTCAGGTACGTAAACAAACTCCAGGGACTCGATGGCATTGGGTTCCGAGATACGGCTTAGCCGAAAAATGAATAGAAATATGAGAGATGAAATTCAGTCGTGTCCTCACCGGCACCAAAACAATCGCCATATGGAACAGAATATGAATGAATACGTGAATGAATACGTGAATGAGTATTTGATGAGTATTTGATGAGTATTTGATGAATATGTGATGAATATTAGTGATGAATATGTGATCAGATAAGAGGAACTGCGGTAGTAACGATTTGGTCCTGCAATGCTTTCTTCTTTTGCTGTTCACTTTGAGGGCACAATTGCAGATACATGACGTACATGAAGCCGCTGGAACTGCTGGAAATTCTTGATCCTGCCACAAGACAACAATACACACAAATCGTTTAGGCATGTTTAGGCCTTTTGGAACTGATGGAAAACGACAATTGTACAATTGCATGCCATGCTGGGGCCATGCTTGTCAATTCTTGCAGTTCAGCAGTGCTTCGATTCCATATCTTGCGAGCTGTGCTTGGAAGAAAAGCTGCGCTTTACCGCTTTGCCTGGTGCTTTTCGCGGCAAGGGAAACTCACCGCTGGCTGGCAACAGAAGGTCCACAGACAAATGATCGGGTCCTATGTTGTTTTCAACAGTGGGCATATCAAGAACATCATCAAGAACATTGTCAAAATTTCCACATATTTCCACTGTGAGCACTGCTGTTGTCTTTGGATTTTTTATGATTTTTTTCTATATGTTTCTGCTATTTTCTGCTCAAGGTTAGAGACGCGCTGTAGCACCCCCTGGCGAAGCCATGGCGGCGCTAAACCTTACTGGTTTACTTCCCGATGAACGGTGCGCACAACATGGAACTTCCATGACTCATGGATATGGGCCCAGATGGGCCCAGATGGGCCCAGATGGGCCCAGAGTCGCTGTCAGAGTCGCTGTCTGAACCCGAAACTCAAAAAGTGCGGCATAGATGGCATGTGATGGCATAGTCTCATGCTATGTCAAGCTATGTCCACATATGTCCACTGTCTAGTTTTCCGCAAGTTTTTCAATGTGCCAGGTGGATTGCAGAGATGAGACATGATGCTAGCGCAGAGTGCGAAGCTTTTCGGGGCAATCACCGTGCAGACGTGACGTATGTTGCAACTCGTCTTCAAATGCGAAAGAAAGCAACCTTTACACTGTCTTGGGATGCTTTGGACATTTGATGGTGCCGAAACTGCGAGAGGAAAAATGGTGGGTACGTCGTTCTGCTTGATTGTGGATGATTTGATGCGGAAAAGGGACTTCTGAATCCACAAAGATAGAACGGGATAGAACAATAACAAGAAGGATCAAGAAGGTCTATGCCAACTACAGTAGGTTCTGGGCTCTGTTTTCGTGCACACAGTCTGATTGAGTATAGGGTGGCTCGCTGAGTTTGTGAGATTCAAAGTGCAATGGCAAGGTCTAAAATGCCCTTTCCCCAGGTTACCATGGCAGCGCGGATTATTCAGATGCAGTCGGGTTTTGCAATGCTCGAGCAACTTGCCAGCACTAGATGTGCTACATCTTGCCGCGAACCGTTCAATTATTCGGTCTCCATCTTTCGCAGATACACTCTGAACTCTGAATATCTCTGAATCACAGCGGTTTTCTCTTTACTCATATAGGTTCTTCATGGTTCATCCGCCTCTCGCCATCGTTCCGCTTCAATTTCGCTATGTTTCTCTGCGGTTGTCAGAAAGCCCCAAGCAGAAACATGCAATGCTTGACACAAGACCGACGAGGTCTTGGGGGCCCTAGCGAGCTGTTGCGCTCCAAGCAGCTTCAGAAATCCCTTTATCGTAAATTCATGTAAATTCTACCATAACTATGTATATATATAAAATATTATAATTATCCATAATGATTATGATCATAACATTTGCGGTGCGCCGAAATTCACCGGAAATCTTGGGCCGTTTGCTGCGTCAATGCCATTCACCTCTCAAGCTTTATGAGCTGAAACAGGTGAAGATTTGAAGTCATCGACAGCACGGATACGCAAACACAGACACAAACACTACCAAACTAAACAAAGCACTACTATGAATGATTGAATTGATTAATACATTACTATATAATGCAGATCAATAGTTTATACTGAAACACCACCGAACGCCAACAAACGACAACAAAGGAGATTAGATACTGCAACATATTACAACAATTTACAACATACGTATCTTTGAAATTTGAAAGCGTTCCATGCAATATCTCTGCAGGCAATCCCAGCACAAGGATAATCTCGGTCAGGAAACACTTTCCCAATCGCAGATGTCTAGGATTGATGTGGACTCGAGAATCATTACCTTGTCGGCAGAGCCTCCACTTCAGTGATTCTTCAACGTGTGAAGTATGAGTTGTGATGACTTGTGTACATAGAAAATATAGAAATGAAGCAGCAATCGATTTCCTGCACAAATGCACGTGGTGCATCACGCTCAGTGAACGGGCCGCTGAAGACAGAGCGACCAGAGTGGCTTCCCTTTGAAGGACCTGGAAATCGACACGTGCCGCCTGAGCTGTGGGCGATGTCAGCGACTCAGTTCCATGGCTTCCTTGCTGCCTGCAAGTCCACAAGTGTCTATCAGGTTTGGCAAACGGAGAACGAGAAGAACGAGAAGAACGAGAAGAACGAGAAGAACGAGAAGAACGAGAAGAACGAGAAGGGGTACAAAGCAAAGAAGGGGACCAACGGGACCAAAGGGAACGATGTGCGCAAAGTGAACATGTACGACATTTGTGATTTTTTTGTTAAACAGTGGACTGCTGGCACAGGCAACAGTGTAGCTCTGCTCCTGAACAATCAGCCACTATCAGCAGACCTAATGATTTCCCATGCCTGGGCAGAGGATATCCAAGAGTGCGCTGAAGCACTGATGCTGCATTTTGTGCGCTACGACATTTCATACGATACTGCTTGCTGGTTTTGCGTCTTTTCGATGTACCAACCAGGCGACTGCTTTGCAATCCAAGAACAGGTGGCCCTGGATCCGTTTGGCCAGGTCTTATCAACTATTCCTCAGATGAGCCAGTCCGGTTGCGATGGACGATGTATGGTGGTGATACACACATCAACTTCAGAGGTGTACGAACGTCTTTGGTGCGTCTTTGAGATCGGCAAAGCCTCTCTCGACGGAGTTCCGATCAAAGCCGCGTGCTCATATGCTTATATTGTGGCACAAACAAAGAAGACAAAGGAGAGCCTTAGAGTTCTGACAGAAAATGCCAGGTGTTCCGTTCCAGAAGATGAAACGCGGATTCGCAAGCTGTTAGTGAGCGACTTTGGGGGTGCTGAGATGCTCAATAGTATGATCTTGGACTTCCGCATGGCCATGATGCGCCAGATGGGCTATGAGCTTCGGTCCAGTCCTTCCAGTCCTTCCAGTCCTTCCAGTCCCTGCAGTCCGTCCAGTCCCAGTGACGCTCAATGGCACGCCATTCCCAACATGAGCTTTTTCCGCAAAGGGAAGAATGCCGCGGTGGATCTTTTAGATCTCCAGATGGCAAGTCTGCAGAAGCTGTGCTCAGAGCTCTCTAAACCAAGCTAAGAGTTGGGCTGCGCAACGCTCCATCTTGATCCATATTTTTCCGCAAGTGAACGCATTCATTATTTCATGATAGTTCATGATTTACGATAATTCAATATAATTCAATAATATTCAATATGCTTCTGAATTTGTGCGGAGATTCACGTGCCACACGAGTCTATTCTTTGATGTTGCCTTTGCAACATCGGGCGCTAACGGTGAAACGCGCATGGAACATGATTCAATGGATGCCAAAGGCAGAATCGACAATAGCTGATGCGCGTGTTTGACAAATGACGCGGCGAAAAAGTTTGCGGCCGTCGAGGGGTTTCTCATACTTACCTTCCTAAGTTTTGACCTTTGCAAACGATTTATTGAGTCTGTCACATTTTTTCCGCTAGCCACTTTTTCCCGCATCCTTGGAACTTGTATTTACCCGCCCTATAAGCACTGCGGCAAACGAATAACACTGACTGAGACTCTTGCCTTGCCTTTGTGTTGTTTCCACAAAGTGGCCATGATCAACATCCCTAGCAGAAAAACAATACGATACCTGTGCAATCCTGCCATTGCTCAGTGCCAAGCAGCAAGCTGAGCAGCTCCAAACAGAAGATCTTCGTTTTGTTTTGTCAACTAACAGGGCATCTAGGAGCAGACACAAGGTGCAGAGGCTCAGATGTCATGGATGACATTCAAACCGAACATCATTCGAACTTGGAAAGGATCACTGATGATCTCTGTTTGGATTCTTTTCTGTCGGCCTGCAAGTTGGCAAGGTCTGCATACCAGCAGCCGAACAACTCGGCGAACATCATGATGAAGAACATGTTGGATCTTTGCATTGGTGCCATGTTCAGTATCTGGAACACTGGCGACCCATCTCTATCTAATCTATCTCCATTCCTTGGTCAACATGAGGCTAACCAAGCTGTTGGACATTTCAGATCTCTTGCGACAGTTTTGAAAGGTTTTCAACATGGCAGATGGATTCTCATCTTTTCGCTGAAGAAAAACCTTGCCGTTTGTTGCCGTCATGACTTCCCAGTTTCTGCAGAGCCTACAGCTAAGCTAAGAGTGAGCGTTGGCGGTTGGGACAGTGACTTGTCACAATTTGTGACTTATTTGACGACCACTAGAATCGAGCAGTGTGTGTCGGTTTCAATATGTTTCAATATTTTGCTAAGGTGTTCTTGCATTCTTCTTATTTGGCTACTACATTGCCTATTGGGACACTCATCAGATCGGAGGCTGTGAATCAGTTGAGACCTTGCAAGCTTTTTGTGTAGACAAATGCATTTTGCATCTTTCTTCATGAGTCCAACACAGAAGGATGCTTCTTTTTTATTTTCACCTCATTAAGTAAATTTAAATAAAGACACATTGACCACCAATCAAAAAAGATATGATTTCTTCACAGGTTCATTACAGACCTCAACCCTTGATTGGTTCGCAGGCTTTGCAGATGCTGGCGTCGATTTGGCTCACTGGTTCTGTTGCTTCTCCTATGCAACAACTGCTGCGACCATCAACAGTGGGGCATTGGCAGGTCCAGATCCAGATCAGTGCGTTGCTCTGAAGTGTCATTGTTTCTGCAGTTTCGTGCATGTTCTTTGTGTATTTTTTTTTCATTTTCTTGCATTAATTTTACACCCGTAAGTCGGTTAGTGTTGAATTTCGACTTTTTACCCACGGGAATTTCCTGTGGCATTTGGCAGGTCGAGTTGCTTTCTTCCCTTACTTGTTCCTTTCGACGGTGATGACAGGTGTCCTTTACCCGAAACTCAAACTGCAACAAGAGCACGTCAATAAACTATAACTATCCATAACCAGTGTTGGTTTTGCTGCAGTGTTCTCTAATCACGAAAGCTAGCTTCTGCTAGCTGAAGTGCCTCTTGCTTTAGCAAGGTATGGGGGGTTGGAATCTCCAATCGCGAGAAACTTCTCAGTTAACTACCACTCCCTCCCCACCTGGCTGGTTCACAGGCAGTTTGGCCGTGGGACCAATCCCCCCTGGGACACCGGCAGCAACATCGGCAGCATCGGCATCCCCTGCATGATTTGCATCGTCAATAGGGCATGCCTCATTTCTCTTCAATTCATTGATGCAGCGGCGCTCATGATTGGCATGTTCATTCACGGGTGGCCTTCATCTTGGCCTAGCTTCATTTTCATGTTGCGCACGCACACCTACCTCTCATCCTCAACTTTGGTTTTGCACTGCGTTACTTCTTCCCGCGCTTCCAAAAGCCCACTCCGATGCCGAAGGTGGACCTTTGAATCTTCCCCAATCATTGGTCATCATGTTGGCTATGCTGAATTTCCTCATCTTCTTCGTGCAACAACGCACAACAACCATAATCAATCATACATGTTCTCATCCTCCTCCCCTCCAACATGCATCGCCTCAATACGTAGGTCTGGATGTTCACCTGGCCAACATGCCCCAGCTTCAGACCCGCTCGTCCACGTTGACGAAAAAGCTGCGCAGCTGCGCTGTGCCCTTTGTGTTTTCATGCCAAGCTCCCTGCCAAGCTTTCGTCCCTTACCCCTAGGCCTCAAGTGAACGGCAGTTCATTTGATTAAGACTGATTAAGGAGGCGCAAAGTTTGGTTCGATGGTTCCTGCATTTGATCCGTTAGCGCTGATCCAAAGACCTGAGTTTGAACAAAGTGATCGCGCTGTCACAAGGATCTGCGCGTACTTGTCTTGGGGAAATGGATGGCTACAAAAACTTGGATTTGTAGACTTTGCCGGCTCTGTGGTTGTACACCAGGCGGGCAGAAAGCTTTGTTCATGATCTTCATGAAAAGAAAGAATGAAAACAAGTTTAGGTGTTAAAGGCAAAATATTTCAAGTCTTCAGAAATTGCGTGCAGAAAGGGGCAACAAGGGTCCATCTCCTTTAGCATCTTTTAGGCAAACCGATCTGCCACAGTTTTGTTTTGGTCTGGTGAACTAGTCCTGAAGATTTTAGCCGCATGTTGGGTGGGCATCCTAGCAGGTGGGCGCAGTCAGCGCATTGGTTTCCACCTGTATTCTTGGGCCTCGAATCGGTCGCTTCAAGAACTACCGAGCCTGGAAGGGAGTTTGGTCAGTGCCATGGCAAGAAAGTGATAGCAGAAATGAATTTGCATGGAAAGAAATTTTTGTTGAGATTCGTGGATTTTGTTTGTAAGTTTGAATTTGCATTTTTTACACCCTAAAATTCTCTTCTGGCTTTGTGTTTTTTCATTTCACGAATCTTTTGGACTTGCGATAACCCAATGCAATCAAACATGCCAAAAGTGTCTAGAGACGTCTAGAGCGTTATAGGATGGATATTGGTCTGTGGCATTGCATCGGGCTGAGGTCGTTTTCTGGGAGCGACATGATGATGCGTACTACCGGGAACCCCAGGCTCTGGACATAGCCGTGGTCTTTTGACAAGTCTGGAGAAGTCTTTTGACAAGTTTGCCGAACCTCTTTTGTTTCCAAACGTTTCTGCAAAGGCTATGCTCTGAATGCCATTACCTACAAACGTGATGTGCTTGTGTCTCGAACCGTGCAGAGAGATCAAATGCCTTTGTCACATTGTTCTGCAGATTGTTGCCACGTGTTGCCACGTGTTGCCACGTGAAGGATCCCGCTGAGAAGAAAGTGTTTATTCCATTTCGCAAATGTCGACATCCTGTGCAGCTTCTTTTTGGAGCCTTGAACTACCGTAGGTAGTGTCAACTAGTGACTATCTTGGACTGACTGTGAAGGAAGGTGTGGCGACACAGCAAAAGCATTTACTGTAAAGGTCTTGAAACAGCCAACCATCAGTCACCACCAGTGGTCAAAGGATGTTTCAGGGCTACAAACGAATCATAACGAATCCTTGTAGATGAAACAATGAAGCAAGAGATCAGTGTTACTGTGCATTAGGTATCGTTTGGATTCGTTTGGTTGTGCTCCAGTTGGACCCCTTGCATCCCCTTGCATCCCCTTGCCTAAAGTCTTCAGCACGGTACGCACCAAACTTTTCTGGTGGTCCCAGTGGTCCCAGAGCGAGGAACTTTTCTGCTGCTCGTCGGCTTCTTGGCCTTCAATCCGGCATCCACCTTTGCAACCACTCTGGGGCAGCTCGGAGAGCAGAGCCAACTAGAATAACTAGAACCAACATTTGTGTGACAGATCTTTGTTTCCTTCAGACATCTTCAGACCCTTTGCGTGTCTTAGTTTGCAGTGTTTGTTTGTGTCGCGCTCCGCAGAAGCGTGCAGGCTCTTGACATTGAGGTTTCATTGCTAGGAATAACTAGGCTGTGTCGAATCGCGTTGACCTTTCCTCTTCACAGGTCCACACTTCGAAATCTTCACATGTCACGTGAGAAGACTTCACTGCTTTTGAAGAGACACGGTCCAACTTTCACGAGCTTCGACTCAGGGCAGACCTGCTTGTCGCACATAGTTCCGCCACCACTTTATTGGCAGCTGCAGGTGGAGGGATTGGAGGCACACTGAACTTTCGTTCAGATCAGCAATGAATGAGAATAATGAGATCTCATGATAAGATCTGATAAGATCATCAGGATCATCAGGCCTGTTTGTATCTGTTCATAAGGATTCATACACTGCCTTTTGTTTACTCAAAATCTGGTACAGGAAATAGAAACAAGATGAAACAAGCTTTCCAGTGAAAAGTTCTCCCATGTATTCATCCTATTCATCCTGCATCTAGATGCTGCAACCGCCCGTGAAATGCATCGATGACCGCAATGGTGTGATATGTGCGATTCTTGGAATTGCCACCCTGCGACTCCCAAGATCCCCATTGAGTGTAAGATAGCATCATGACATTCAATGACATGCCTCAAATGGATTCAAATGGTTCAACTATGGTTCAACTACGGTTCAATTGTGATCCATGTCTACATCCACCGTCCCAGTTTCCGAATCCGCTCTTGACACACGGATCCTTTGGAGTGGAGAATGGATTTCTATTTTGCCAATTCTCTGGAGTTGCGCACCTTTGAACAAATTGAACAAATGTCGTCCAAAATTCTGCAAGGCATGCTATTTTCCATGGTCTACACCCGATCCACGGTGGTGCGAGTTCCGGAGCTGACCAATGCAGTGATAGCTGGCCTTGTGGCCTCATGCGCACCTGCTGCCGTAATGCCACTCTCAGTCTCTCCTCTTGTGGGACCGGGGACCGATGACCGGGGACCAGGCTTGGTAAGAAGATGTAAGAAGAATCAGGAAGAAATATGAAGAAATATGAAGAATCTCAATGTCAATGCATGTCAATTCCATGTCCCTGGACCCCGTGTTGCACCTTGAGCTTCCGAATCTGTGGCATCCAGGATTCGTTGCTGCAATTCTCACGTTGGGCTTTGAGGCTGGGATGTCTTGTTCTGAAGAGAAAGCCTGCCCAGAAGAAACTCGAATAAACCATAGCAAGATATTGCAATATAGCAGCTACATGCAAATACCAAGAAGGCCTCAACACGCTTCGCATTTTTGCATCTCTAATCTTCATCATCATAGCTTTCTCATGATCCTGCATAGAGCAATGCGGCTTGGTGCTGTCAAACTTAGTCCAAACTAGCGTTGTTCTGATGGTGTATGATGGTGTATGATGTTGTACCATATTGTATTGAATCACGTTGCTCGACAGGAAATGCTTGCGTACAAACAAATAGACGATGCAGTCGGCGCAGTTGCTGCACATGGCCCGAGTGGAGATCCTTAGCCAAAAAATGAAGAAAGCGTCAGAACCATGCGCTGTGCGCATTTGAGCAACAGACAACATGAGAGCAAAAAGAAAATCAACCAAGATCAGTCATCAAAGTTATCAAACTCACTATAATTCCTCCACGGGGGATGGCAATTTTAGAGAAGGATACTCTGGATATTTTTTGCAAGGTCTCTGGGGATGATTGCGAAACGGTGCGAAACGGTGCAAAGGCATTTGGACCCTGGAAGTGTCGCCTAGAGGCCTAGATTTGAATAATCTTGAATATGATCATATTACATACTAATATAATATATATATATATATAGAATATTACATAAGATGCAAATTTGTATGGAAAAAACGTCTTGGCATTCCTTAGGCTTGGGGAGCCATTGCAGTTGCATTATTTGCAGACAAACATTGCGGTGGAAATCCGGACGTCGTTGGCCTAGTCTTTGGACACTCGGTTGCGCCAGAAGGGCCCACTGGGGGTCGAAGTGGAAGCAGTGCAAGAAGCAGATATTGTACAGATGAAAATAGGTAACCAACTTCACTGTTGCTGGGGCTCAAGCCCATGTCCCCCCGTGCTCTGCTTGGATTGGTTGTTGAGGGCTTGTCTAGTAACCTGTGGGGTTTGGGCTGCCCTTTTTACTGCACCTCCCCGTCCCTTGGGTTGTGCCTCTTCCTTTTCCTCCTTGGCTGGCTCCTCGGTGTCCTGACTGCCTTGGTTGGAATTTGGTGGCTTTTGGGTGTTGGACTTTCGGTCTGGCCTGCTTCGTGTGCCCCGTCTGCTCGCGCCCCTACTGCGGTATCAAGGTCTAAGGTTCTGTCCTCCTACCTGCATGAGCAGGGTCCCTTCCACAGAGAGCGCCACAGTTGACCTTTCCTTGACTCTCCCTTGTGGACTTAAGGTGTGCATCTCTGGACCTGCTGCCTCCTCCGGCCTGGCCGCTCAACTTCTTAGCCACGTCGCTGCTTTCTCTCCCGAGGGTGCTGAGCCGTCTGAGTTTGAGTTGGTGTCTAGTGTGCCTGAGTCTGTTCCTTCTGGTTCCTCTCGGGTGCGTGGATTGGAGACCCGAGACCAGGTCCGTCTGTCCCTTCGTCCCTGCCCCGCAAGCCTTCTGCCTTTGGGAAACAGGTTGGTGGGATCTTCCTTGTCAGGGAAAGCCAGAGTGGAGCGAGCTTGGACTTGTGGCCAGTGGGCATCTGCCGTCAGAGACTCCCGTATCGGAAGCCCTGACAGGACACCAGCGATTGACCTCAAGAACAGGTTCTACGCTGTCTTGCAGGCACCTGGACTTCTTCGTGCCACCATCTTCAAGTCTTCTGCGGGGTACTGGAACTGCATTGAGTCCTTGCAGGACTCTCCATCAATCTCCCAGTCCTTCCCGAGTGAGGCGGAGGCAAAGATTTACCTGCAGTCAGCTGGGGAGATCGAGCACGACATTGCTCCCTGAGGGCCGCAATGGCAGAGGCCGTCACTTTGAGTTTGGAGGCCCTGGTGACCCTGGAACACGATGTCGAGCCCTATGTGATGGATTGGCCAGATGTCTTGAGCGACGATGGAGAGCCCGAAGCTGCTGTCCTCATCGTGTCAAAACGGCCAGGTGGATTTTTGGCCGCTGTTCCTGTTGGTTTTCTGCCCGAAGAGGTTTTGGCCAATGGAAATGTGGACCCCCCTCCTGGACTTGTAGGGCCATCCACTGTTCTTCGTGTTCAGGGAAGGGTGATGGATCATGGAACTTTAGCCCCCACCGGAGCCCTTCTGACGGTCGTTGTAGTCGATCTGGACGAGGGGGTGGTGAATTCACTTCGCACAGTTGGGCAAGAGGAAGTATATCCATTCACCTTCGACCCAGATCAACCTTTTGCAATACCAGACCCGCCTCAGCTGTTGACCATGGTTCGAGACTGGCTATCAGCAAATGCCTCCTCCACTCAAGCAGCTTACCTCTCCCTCGCAGAGGAGGAGGCCGTGGACTTGGAAGATGTGCCACTGGAGGAGGATCGCTCTGTCAACACTCCTCCCCCACGAAGAGCCAGAAAAGCAGCGCCTGGGCAAGAGCGAGCTTCAAACTCAGGAAAGCGACCTACTGTGGCAACCCTGGCAAGCTCCATGGATCAGCTTCTGCAGATGAATGCCGGCTTCTCCAAGAATCTGGAGGCCCTGACTCTTCGACAATTGGACTTGGAAAGGAAGATGTCTGCTCCAGCGGCTTTGCAACAAGGGCCCCATGCAGTTCTACACCGGCCTATCTCAGATTCCTTGGTGCCCCAGGTCACTGCGCCGAAGAGCATAGCTCATCAGCTGGGTTCACCGCCAAGAACACTTGCACCATCTGCCCCGGGACTGTTGAGCTCGCAAATGTTCAAACCCCAGGACTTGGCGGAGTTGGAGGTCGACAAGAGAGAGGGCGGCCCATCTACATCGTCAGATCCTCTGGCGCAGGCTGTGCTGGCCCAGTCACAGGCTTTGACAGCACTTGTGGCTCAGATCGCACAGACCAATGGCGATCCTATGTTAGAGCTTGGTTCAGCAGGCTTATCAACAGGCACCCGAGGAGCCCAAGGCCGTGCCCGGCTTCAGGCAGAACTTGCTGCTCAGAAAGGAAGTTTCTTTGCCTCAGTGATCTCCTCGATGTCAAGGCGGATGTTCCCCACTATGACTGCGGAGGGCTCTTATCAGGAGCTGATGGACCGTGGAGTTTGCGGAACTCGCTACCTGGAGCGATTCGGAGGCTATGGGAAGGTGAGAGACCTGGGATGTTTGCAGTACCAGGTGATGACAATCCTGGACTCCTTGCAAACCTCCAACCTGCAAGCAGCCCGGGATCAGGCGGCACTTCTGGCAGTGACGTTAGATCAGGCTGCCATGGATCAAGGGCGTTTCGACTTGGCTCATCTACTATGCCTCCAAGAAGAACCTCCTGCAGCCGTCTTTACAAACAGACAGGCCAGCATGTTGGCGAAGAGTCGGGCGTTCAGTCCTTTAGCGGACCAAAAATGGGTCACGGTGGCGCTGGCTTACCTGAAAGAATTGGATGTCATCACTTCCAAACGCCTCGAGTTGACGAACCAGTCAAAGCCCGGGCAATTCGCCAGCTCTTCCTCCGCCGACGGCCCGGTACAGCCAAAGCAGAAGGCCCAGCCCAAACGCAAGTCCAAGGCTGGGGGAAAAGGAAATCAGCCGGTGGCGACCGATGCCGAGGAGTAGCCAAAGACAGGGGATCCATGGATTTTTCCAACAATGTGGGGCCGGAGTCAAACCCACTTGTTGCCACTATGAGCCTCTCCAGATGGGCACTTTGCCTACCGAGGTTAATTTTGAAGACAAGGACAAAGTTTTCCCATTGCCTTGCTCGTTCTTTTGCTGTCTTGCGCCGTTCTCCCGAGACGGCTTCCGCAGTCTTCCCGTTGCCTCTGGAATCCTTGGACTCTTTCAGAGGTGGCGGCCCTCATTTGTCAAAGAAGCGCCTTTGGACTTTAGCCAAGAACCGACTTCTTCATGTTTGGACTCTTGTGCTGGATTTCATGTTTCTGGGTCGTTGGCCTACTGCTTCTGAGTTGAGGAGGTCCCCAACCCCTGAACAGCTCTCTGTCTTTAGGAGGTTGAGGACTATGGTGTCTGCGTGTGGTGATGCCCAGGCCTTGTTCCCTGTTTGCCCCGGCAGATCCGGCCCTGAGCTTGGCGCTCAGTTGTTTCAGCTTGAGAGCTTTTGCATGTCGTGCCCTGCGCTTGCTTCTGGGTACATGGAATCTGAGAGCATCCCTGCAAAGCCCGACCCTGGACTTTTGTCGGCCTCTGACTTTCCTGAACTCCTCCCCTATCGGTCTTTGGATGCTGACCGTCTCAAGCTTGTGGGTGAAGGAAGATGGCCCATGGAGTCTTTCTTGAGTGGCGTGCTTTGGCTTCCTTTCCAAGAGCCGGCTTTTCTGTGTCATGGTCTTGCTGTGCCACCTGACGGGGTTCCCAACTTCTCTGCGGAAGATCCTGTGGAATGTTTGAAGCTTGCAAAACTTTGGGATGTTCGTGGCCTCTTGCACCTTGAAGCGTCGCCCCTTCATGAGAACTACTTCTCTAGGGTTTTTAATGCCTTTAAGGATGCAGAGAGGGACCGGCAGATTGGTGACCGCCGGCTGCCAAACATGTGTGAGTATCATGTCAATGGGCCCTCCAAGTTTCTTCCACAGGGAAGGCAGTTGACCATGCTTCCTATCCCAAGGTTCACGCATGGGATCAGAGGCTCCATAACTGACAGGCGAGACTTTTACCATCAGGCATGTGTGACCCCTGAGCGTTCTCGAACCAACATGCTGCCCTTTTCATATGATGTTGAAAGCTTTGTTGGCTCTTCGGCTCATGACTGTCTTGTGGAATCTTGTCGTGCCAGGAAGTCATCTCACCGTGATGTCATTGGAGACCGCCTTGGAAAGCCGATTGGAAAGAGAAGCTCCTGTGCCCTACCCACAAGGGTGTATCCATGCTTTCGGTCGTTGTTTCAGGGTGACCACCTTGGGGTTGAGTTTGCCTTGCGTAGTCATGAAGTTTTGTTGCAAGAGGCTGGGCTTTTGGCAGATGAGACACGCATCGAGGGAAACAAAAACTTCCCAGTGACATGCAAATGGGACGCCTTGGTGATTGATGACTATTTCTGTTTGTGCTCTGAACGCCTTTCGACTTGCCCCAAAAACAGTTTTGCCTGGACTTCCCTTACAAAAGCCAGAGAGGTCTACGAGAAGCATCAGCTTCTGGGATCTCCTGAAAAGGATGGGGTTGCCTCACCGGCAGTGAAGGTTGCTGGCGCTGAGATTGTTTCCGACAGTGCAAACGTCAGGCGTGGTTTTGTGCCGGTAGCTGCACCTTTGGCCAAGCGTGTGGGATTGTCCACTGTCTCTCTGCGCGCTGCATGCTTGCCTGGTTTGACCTCTGGACTTGTCTCTAGGCTTGCTGGGAATTGGGTGTCCGTCCTGCAGTTCAGAAAGGTTTGGTCTTCCTTGATTGATGGGTTGTTCCTTTTCGGTGCCAAGTGTCAGGAAAATGAGGGTCATGTGCATGCCTTGCCAAAGCAGGTTTCTCAAGAGCTTGCCATGCTGTCTTCCATCGCCCCTCTTGTGATGACCAACATAGCTGTCGATTATTTGGATGTTTGTTTTGCCAGCGATGCATCGAATCGGAAAGGAGCCATCGTTGAAGCTGGCATTTGCCCCAAACTCCATGAAATCATGTGGCTGGACTCAGACTTGAAAAGCCCTTATGTGCAGCTTGACAACCCTTTTCGTGCAGCGCTCAGACAGCTTGGAGAGTTTGATGAAGATGAGCCCTTCTCTGGCGGTGATGGATTTTGTGCGGGACCCTTCAAAGCCCCACTTTTGTATTTTGACTTTGTCGAGATCTGTGGAGGCGCTGGTAAGGTCACTGATGCCATGTCTTCGTTTGGTTTCGTCTGTGCCCCTACTTTGGATTTGTCGGATTCCCGCCACTATGACTTGTCGTCCCTCGCTCTGTTGGATTGGATCATTCACATGATCCGTGAAGGGCGATTCAAAGCCTTCCTGGTTGAGCCTCCCTGCACTACCTTCAGCCCAGCCGCTCATCCTGCCGTCCGGTCTTACAGAGAGCCTCTTGGATTTGACAGGACTTTGCCAAAGACCCTCCATGGAAATGTGCTTGCGTTTCGTGCCTTGGTTCTCATGCGGGTTGGTCGTAGGTACCTTTGTCCCTGCGGTTTGGAACAGAGCCGGTTGAGCAAGATGTGTTGGCTCTCTTTCTGGAAGAGCCTCCTGGAGTTGGACTTTGCCGAGGCAGTGATTGCTTCCTGCATGTTTGGTTCCCCTCACCGGAAGGAGTTTAGGTTCCTGTGTTACCTCCTTGACACGGGATTTTTGGACGTGCGTTGTTGCGGTGGTCACAGTCATGTCCGTATCCAGGGGTCGCTGACTAAGCCGTCTGCCACCTATGTCGATGGCCTTGCACTCCATGTTGCCACTGCCTTCCGTGATGCTTTGCTTAAGAAGAGAGCCGAGGGTAACCTGGAGCCAGAAACGCAGGGCCATGAAACTGTCCTTGCGAACGATGTCATGCTCAGCTCGAAGTGGTCTGTTGTCCGAGCCTGGTTTTGGAAGCGTCTTGGTCACATTAATGTGCTGGAGACATCTGCTGCGGTCTCAAACCTTGTGTCGGTTGGGCAGAAGCGCTCATCATGTCGATTCTGTCATTTCGTCGACTCAGCCGTTTGCCGTGGTGCTTTGTCCAAAGGTCGTTCTCCTTCCAGAGCTTTGCAACCTTTGATGCGGCGTGCTGGTGCGGTTTGCGTTGCCTCTGACCTCTACCCCGGATGGTTTTACTGCCCTACCAGGCTCAACACGGCCGATGACCCTACCAGAGATCACCCTCTGCGGCTTCCTCTTCGTCACTCCCTCATCAAAGCTGGCATTCCGCTTGATCTCCTGCGGCGTCTCAATCTGTGTGGCCTCAGACGTTTTGCTGCCAACTGGATTCGGCTCATCTTGCTTGCCACCTATGGACTTCAGCCCGTTGCCGGCTCTTGTGTGCCTCAGGCTGCTTGGTCTTGGACTTGCTTTGACTTCGGCTGGGTTCCTGGTCTTGTGTTTTCTCAGTCTGGGTGGACCAGTGGTTGGTGGCCGTTTGCTCGCGATGATGAGCTCATGCCCGGCGTTGGATTTATCCTCGGGCCTCTCCTGGTTTTCTGTGTCCTTGGTGTGTTCCGTGCTGTTCCCCCTCTCTTTGGGTCGGGTGGGTGCAGTAAACGGGGCCCCCATAGGGTTAGACCTAGAGCCTCCAACCTCCGCCATGTCATCCTTGCTGTTGCGGCCTTTTGTGTAATCCCCTTCTGGATACCAGCAGCTGCAGCAATGCCGATAGCTCCAGCTTCACGTGCAGACAAGGACAGGATGCTGCATCGAGCAGGAAATGCTTTGCTCACTACGAGGGCTGTGAGGGATCAGACACGAGACAAGAGGAAGGTCTATTTGGACCGCTTCAAGGCGTGGCTCTGGCAGGAGAAAGGTATTTCCTTTCGGCATTTGATGGAGACGAGGCCTGCCGACCCCGAGAAGATTTCAGGCGTGCTGGTTGACTACGGTCGTGAATTGTATGCTGCAGGAAAGGCCTACGGGATTTTTGCAGAGACAATTAATGCGGTGGCTGTGGAACGACCGCTCATCAGACGGCAGCTCAATGGCGCTTGGGATCTTGCCTTCTGCTGGCTGGCGGACGAACCGCATCAGCATCATCCGGCTCTCCCCATCTCCACCATGGCAGCCTTGGTCACAGCTGCACTGACATGGGGATGGGCCTATGAAGCTTCTGTCATCCTGACTGGGTGGACAGGAGTGCTCCGCATAGGAGAGATCCTTGCGGCGACAAGAGCGGAGCTGGTGCTGCCCTGTGATTCAGCTCCTGGCACCTCCTTTGCCTTACTGGTGATACGGCAGCCAAAGACACGGGGCCGATCCGCGAAGCATCAGGCAGCTCGCATTGACCAAGAGGACGTTGTCGCTTTCTTGACAGCCATGTATGCAAAGGCTGACAGATCGGCAAGACTCTGGCCTTACTCAGCCTCCACCCTGAGAAAACGCTTCACACAACTCCTGACAGCGCTGCAACTGCCTACAAAGAAGGATGGTGACTCTCGCCCTTTCGACCTCGGCAGTTTGAGGCCTGGTGGTGCAACATGGCTCTTGCACCAGACGGAGTCACCAGAGCTTGTGAGAAGGCGTGGACGGTGGATGTCAATGCGGACTTGTGAAATTTACCTCCAGGAGGTTTTGGTCACGACCTACCTGGAAAAGCTGGACAAGCGAGCACGGGATCGTATCCTTTTGTTTGCTGGTGGGTATGCCGAAACCTTGGAACAGTGCGTGACGTTTCTGGAACATGGCATTCCACTAGCATCTTGGTTTTTCCTCCTCAGAGGTGCAGGTGATCCTATGAAGACCGCCGGAAAGAGTGGGAGCTATGGTGGTTTTGAATCCTTCCAGCCGACAAATACTGGCTGAAGGCTGATGGAACTTCCAGGCAGACAGCAAAAGGTGCGGCGGTTTCCTGAAAATAGGTAACCAACTTCACTGTTGCTGGGGCTCAAGCCCCCCGGCCCATCCCGCCCTATGGCACCTCTGAGGGGTGGTGGTTTTGAATCCTTCCAGCCGACAAATACTGGCTGAAGGCTGATGGAACTTCCAGGCAGACAGCAAAAGGTGCGGCGGTTTCCTATATAATGATATAATATAATGATATACAATGATATATAATGATATATACATGTATTTACACTATCGGTATCGTATTTGGACAAATATTTGGACAATGTTGTCATGTCATATTCCTCAGATCTTGTCATGTATTGTCATGTCAATGTTTTGTTGGGGCCTTGCTGCGAGGTGGCGGTGAAGCAGCATGGCTTCTGCTTGCGAAGCAACTGCTGGGCATGGTCGTTTTGTGCGGCATCTCCATTGGCATCACCTACTTCTCTGTTTAGTGCCTTGATAGATATGCCGTGATAGATATTCCAACTGATATGCCTTCCAAGATCAGTTTGGAAGTCTCAAAAAAAGGATGTCACGGAAGTGGAAAACTTGACACCCATGATATCTGGATTGTTGCGAGTAGAACTGGCAAGAGTTGGGATGATTGGGGTGACTATCATGTACTACAAACACAGCATACTACAGTACTAACTAGTTTATTGAAAAATGCAACATAAGCACGCAGTTACATCATTGAATCATTGACTCATTTGACCGCGAAGAGTGACTTCAAAGAGTTTTGACACGGTGGAAAGGATGGACTTGACTCACACAACTTCCAATGTGGCCACCATAAGTTGAATGCTCCAAGTTTCAGCAATCCGAGAGCAAGACTTCTGAGGGTCAAGTAATCTGAGAACAGAGAGAAATACTATTTCAGATTGAAATAGATTAAAATAGCACTCAGAGATCTTTTGTGGCACTCTGGTGGTTCCCCATATAGCAGACGAGGTGCAGTTTCAGAGATTGTACACACTCAAATTCACACAGCATTTGTGTCCATCCTTACATTGTACTTGATCGCAGAAATTGCCGACCTTGCCTCAGCTTGATTGACGTGACGGTCGGCTTCCGGTGCACGCGTGCACTGATTGGTCTTGACTTCTGGGAGCATCAGCCACTTTGATGAAGCACGAATGAAAACTGTGTGAGCTCAACAAACAGACCGTGTTACCGTGTTATACAACATTTGGTACAAACTACCAAAGTACCAAAGCACCTGCCACAGCTGTAATCCTGCTGCCATGTTGCTTTGCCCTGTGACATCTCAGGTTCAATGATGGTACTTTCGACAAGGACAACGACAAGGCAAAGATAAAAGATGTGGCAGGAACCTTCCAAATCTTCCAATCAATTTTGGCAGGTTGACTGAACCACCACCTGTGTTCAAGTGTCGTGAAAGTAGTGGGCATGGCCATGCGAAGAATCCAACTCTTCATTGCCAAAAAAAGAGGAACATACCTTTTCTTGGGTCTGAACATAAGTAGGCACCGTCTCAATCATTTGGTTCCATTTTCTCCATTGTTTCCTTCAGTTGTTTTCCCAGATCTACACACGGACTGCGCACGCGTTGCAACCCCATGTTCCGCTGAGTCGTGAGGCAGAATTCTTCAACGCGGCAAAGCTGCGGGAAAGCTTGAACAGCAGCTGCTGGCCCTCCTTCAGTAGTCCGGAAAAACGGTACATGTCGTTCGGCTGAAAAACGGCATATGATATGAATATGGGTACCCACATGAGCCGCAGGCTCCCAGGGTTTATCGGAAGTTTATCGGTGGAATTCATCGGTGGAATTCAGGCGAAAAAGGAATGGGGCCTGTGGTCAAAGGAGTATGGATTTTAAAGGTGTGTGTTGTTTGGTCATGGACAGAATGGCATTAAAATTTCGATGCTTTTTCCAAGGGCTGAGCAAAAAGTCCGGGAGCTGAATGAAGAGCAAGCCCGCAAAGCGTCAGAAGCAGAAACGAAAAAAGAAGAAAAGGAAAAGGCAGAAGAGGCAGGACAGTAGTAGAACTTTCGGACATACTGACATACTGTTAAAGGATGTCAAAGGGACAACACCGGAACATCTCCTGGGATTTGGCACCGCGAGGCTTCCAAAGGAATGAGTTGTGGCATGTTGTGGCTAAGATTGGCTAAGTATTGCCTTCTGGCCATTTCTGGTGTGCTTTTGAAGGCCGGCATGGACCTGGGGATTGAAGTGGCAATCCTGAAGAAGCAGGTACAAATGTCATGACCTTAGAGCCATTTAGAGCCGAGAAGTGTGGCCGATAGAATCGATAGAAGAGCCAAACGATTCCCTCAATTGACACAGTCGTCCTATGTCGTCCTGCATTGTATCCTTCAAGAACCAAGTGGTCTTCGTATGGTGGTTTGCGTCCGCATTGTCGATTGAATTTATTTTCGCTTGCCGTGCAAGCTGATGTGGACTAATTCCATTGTTCCGAAAAGGTCTTGCACATGAGATGCAGATTCTTTGATTCGATTCTGAGATGCGGAAACCAGCCGGCATTGTGAAGATTTGTGAAGCTGAGATCAACTGAGATCAACTGAGGCTACAATCACAGATTCATTTGTTGGCAGCTGCGAGGATCCGAGACGAGAAAGAAACACCGGGTGAGGACAGGCCACTGGACACTGCAAGTGACCCAGGGTACGGTATGGTACGTAATAGGACACTGCTATACCACGACCATCCACGACCATTTCATATTATTTCATATTATTTCATATTATTTCATATTATTTCTAGAATATGCACACCAGCAGGAACGTGTAATATGCACATGTTCGTGAGGCTATCCCTGTGCGTTGCGTGGAGGACATGTTTGGAAATCAGGATGGTGGAGAAGTAGAAGAGGAGAAATGTGTTTTGGCGCTTGGAATTGAGTTTTTGGCCAGATTTTTTCGCTATGTGGACCCAGAACAGTTTTCTGAAACAGTTTAGCCTGAGTAAACAAACTGCACTGTTTTGCATTTGTTCCTCTTTTGTGACAACTTGCAATGTTTGATGTCGCCATTTGGTAAACCAGACATTGACAGAATGTTTGAAATAACAACGAATTGAACCAACTATTGTACGCACTACGGTGTAACTGGCCTATTCACATTGCAGATTTGTTTCGTATGGTTTCGTTTTGCTTCGTCTTGTTTCAATGTAAGTTTGGAGCATCATGTCAGATTTGTTTCGTTTGAGAAGTTGCAACTATTTTATAAACGGGCGCCGCACATTTTTGTCTTTAGTTTTTGTTCCATCAAAACAATCATAGTGTCAGCCAAACAAAGACCATCAACGACGACATGAACAATTTTTGAAATGGACAGCTGGAAGAACCGCCAGGGGCACGTTGCAAGTATTGTTCCTGCCCGCCAGGGGCACGTTTCCTCAGATTTGAACAACCAAGGGACCAAGGGACTTTGACAGCTGGTCCTGGTCACCATGAAATGTTCCCGCCCCAGTTGCCAAATTGGAAGCACTTTTGCCAGATGCGCTTCTATTTAGATCAATTCTAGATCAATTCTAGATCTCGTCCTTCACTGCTGCCAGCTATTGCCACCTCCAGTTGGCAACGCTTCTCCAGTGCAGATAGCTTTGCCGAGTGTTTTCATGTCGTTTGCCACAGGGCTTTCCAATGCTTTCCACCCTTTTTGATCCTTTGTTTGATCCTTTTTGTCCCCAGTTGGCTGCTTTTTCGGAGGCTTTATGGTGTTTTTTTTGGACAGTCCCAAGGTCTCATGCGCCAGGCGTTTATTTTTGCTCAACCATGACTCTGATGACGTTGCTTTGACGCCCTTGCGTCAAAAACCTTGGTCCTAAGGTTGGCAAAACTCCGGCGCCGTGTCAAGTGGAATTGGATGGAATCGGGTACTCTCCAAACAATTGAACATGGCATGTTGTTTTTTGTGGACCAATTGATTCGTGACGATGATTCACAGCGCTCATACATGTCCGCCAATTTGAGCATTGATGGTTTTGAACTCCGAAGAAAACACTGCTTCAGCTGGGCAATTCCGCATTTTTTTTGGCGGCCGTGTGGAATCTGATGGGTGCAAAGCGCACAATCGCTAGAACAGCAAAACGTGATATGAAATTCAGATGAACTGCACGTTACATCATGTTACATCACGTTACGACGTAGACCCATGTAGACCCCAAAGATTTTCTGAGAGGAATCAATGAATGACCCACGGTGCACGCGATCCACGCGGGTGAGGACAAATTAGTGCTGTGCGATGGCCCCAAAGAGTGGGCTGCCAGGACCATCAGGAGTCCAGACAGCTGTGTTTGGTGTGTGAGTATAGGTACTTGACCTTCCGATCATCCAAGTCCAGTTTGAAGGTCTGTGTTTTTTGGACCAAGAGTGTTCCATATGTGTTCCATGCTGAATACCCAAACACACTGTCAGATCTCAGGTTGGATCTTGAGATATCTTGAGATGACTGAAATTTATGGTCCGAGTTCTTCCAAGAAGAGACCCATTTGGCTCGGACATTCTTCACTGCATGCAATGCTTGCAGAGCCACTTAGTGGAGCGAACGGATGTCGATAGCATAAAGTGTGTCATGTAGGCACCATTGCTTTGGAGTTCAAACTGTTGATTCTGCTTGGCAAGAGTGTGTGTCTGTATAAGAATGGCATCGGTCGCGTGCTTTGAAACTTGTGAAAGGCTGAGTAAATACCACGCAGTTCACACATCACAACGATGATATGATGGACAGAAGATCTTCCATTCGTATCCCCATCATTAAAGTGTGCCCAGTTTTGTGCCCTGTGCCCAATATCTCTGGTGATGTTTTGATCCAAATTTCGTCTGTGTGATTCTTGCCGTGATTTCCATGGATTTTCTCGTCATGTCAAGCTGATAGGATGCCTTTACACTCTTTAGGGTGATGTACAGAGAAAGAACAATGGAAACATATGGGAACCGATGTGCATTCGGAACTCTTGCTTTTGCCTTTTCATGACTTTTCACTGTGTGGCGTTGGTGTCAAGCTATCCATAATCGTCCACTCATGTCCACTCAAATCTTTTTCTACACTGACCTTGCAGGTCTGTGCTCTTTGCTCCTTTAACATTTTTTACACCGCAGGCTGTAGGCTCCATCAAAATGAAGAGCGAGGTGCAAAGATGACGGTGCTCCAGCCTGGTTCCTTCTTACGCACTTTAGTCGCTAAAAACGCATCCTTCAGCTGCTTCAGCCCCAGATTTACGAAAATGCCAGTAAGAAACACAACGACAAAGCAATGGACAGCAATGGAGTGCACAGTGCAAGCCACTTCTAGCCCAATTCCGGCCACTTGCTGTCGGAAAGGGGGACTCGCTGAGCTCGTCGAGTCTTGGAACATCTTGGAACCTTCAGCTGATGCCTCTCGACGCTTTGACTTGCACCTCAAACATCCTCAAACCCAGCACATTCCATTGCCAGTCCAATCTTTATCCACGGGATCAGATGGGATCAGAGTTGTGTCTCGGTTTCTGGCATGTTATTTCAAATGGTTTTTGGTGCTCTACTGAGTTTGGAAAAGCAAACAGTCATCAGCAGCAAGTTACTAGCCGATGCCAAACCACTTCACAATTCATCGGTATGAGATAGGCAAAAGACCTTTGTCAAAAGCGAAGAAGGAAAAGGATGGAAAAGGTATTCTATCATCTTCTCTCAGGGTGTCCTCTCAACAGATGTCCACGCCAAGGAATTATCGGAGGCGAGCTTTGCAGTTGCAATATCTTTGCCAGCCTTTGACTGATAGGATCTGATAGGATCTGATAGGATCTGATAGGATCTGATAGGATAGGATGTTAAAGGATGTTGAAGTTTCTCGTTGGACCAGACCGGGTTACGACTCGAGTTACGACTTTCTTCTGAAAGTTTTTCTTCTCTGCCTCGGGAGGTCACTCGTCCTGGGGTGAGGTGCAACTCTCCAATGCGAGTGAAATTCGCTTGTTTTTCTTCAATCAATATATATCAATATAATCATTTCATATCATTTCAATCGGCCTTGCTTTATCCTGACTTTGATTCTTATAAAGTCTGCAACGGCTAGGAAAGCTTTCGTGAAGTGTGTGTGTGTGCGATTTGCTCTTGGATGCTCTGTCATTTGTGCAGTTATGTGTAGTTTCATGGTCCTTCCTCCTTAGGTTGTTCTGATTTTTGAACTGAGCTGGGAGGTCTTTGTTGCTTGTGGCTGGCTTGCTAAAGGAACTCAAGATCGCAAACGCTGGGATCCTAGGGGCCACACAGGTTAAGTCAGGATACGTCAGGACTTTTCACGAACTTTTAACGCACCATGTCTTTTCATGTCTTTTCATGTCTTTTCATGTCTTTTCGTGAACCTTGTCCTTGGACCTGACAGGCTCGCCCCGTCACGGAGGCAGTTGACGTTAGCGATCGTTTTAGCAGAAGTAAACATAGTAAACATAATGTAAACAGAATGTAAACGGAATCAGCTCGTTTTAGCACAGAACCGTTGACAGAACGGGTTTGATCATGTTTTATATGTTTTATCATCTCTCAAAATCTCTCAAAGGAGGAGCCGTCAGCAACTCCGCGACAGGCAATTCAGTTGCCGCTGGTGCAAGGCGAGGAATCGGTGTGTGGATTCACGTGAACAGAAACACATTCAGAATGCACAACTTGAAGCCCTTGAAGCCAAGAGAAAAGCAGAATGATGCAGAAATATGCAGAATGTATGCAGAATGTATGTGTACATTCTTTGTCTTTGAGGATAGTCTAGAAATGCCTGGACTGTTTAGACCGAACAGGAGGAAGTCCTTGAAGTTTAGCAGCGCTCATCTTGAGAAACCAAGGGTCCAGTACCATAGTGTGTTTCAACAACTTGCTAACGTGCTGTCCATAGTAGATATAGTCATATAGTAGTGTATTTTTTTGCTTTCTTTGTGTGAGATCGACAGCTTTGTTCACGGAGCATTCATGGCACATCATGGCACCTGGCAAAGGAGATGTGAATTGGCAGACGACTCTCGTGATGGAGGATAACACTGATAACACCACAGAAATCCGGAAGATGAGTCTCGCAACGGAATGCACCGCAGATATTCTAGTGAACCTGGACAGTTTCAAAACCTGCGTGTATGCAGTTTTCAATGTGTTTCAACATGTTGAAATGTTACGCACATGCTTCGAACATGTTTCGAACATGTTTCAAGGGGAGAACCAGCGGTTTCAAAACTCTGCGTTTCTGTCCACTCTGCACTGACTCTGCACTCTGCACTGCGTGCACTGCACAGTGCCTGTTCGGTATTTCTGTGCTCTCCAGGAGGTGCACATGAACGTCACCACATTTCTGGCGCGTGAGCCGGTGCTGTCCTTGGGACATCGCTCTTGGGAATGAAAGTTGGCACGCCATTTGAAACATTTTGAAGCCATGAAACATCGTGAAACATAGTGAAAAATCATGGAACATCATGACACTTTGTATCAGCAAAAGAGTGCCGTAGCATCTGGACACAGAAGTACAGATCCTTTATCCATCTCTATCCTATGCTTTGTCAGGCTTTGTCTGTAAATCCTTGATTTGTGGCCACCGCAATTGAACAGCTTTTTCGTGGTCAAACTGTCCTCAGATCACTCAATGAGGATGGTTTCTCGGATTCAGACAGATTTCTGTCATATCTGTCATACAGACAGACACAGCATCAAGGATTAATATATATATATTAATATATTAATATATGAATATACGATGAATGAGGAAAGATAGGAAACGTGAGGTCGATCCTTCGCCGGCAAAGCGACGCCTTGAAAGAACATCTATTTTGTCATGACCAAATTTCCGAGGGCAAGACGGGCATAGAACGGCCGTAGAACAGGCATAGAACGGGAAGGACACGAGGATGACTTCCAAGGGTTTGAATCGGTTTGAAGTGCTAAAATGAGATCACCAGGATGAAACGGGCTGCACCCGATTCACCCGCTTCACCAGGGGCTTGTAGCCCAGAAGCTGGTGCCATGGCTCTGCGTGTGCTCATCACTGGAAGCACTGGTTACGCGCCTTGACATAGCAAGACCTCAGGGTAAAAGTTCACACATGATCCAGAGAAGGAACACAAATTCCAAGGCAACGAAATGATTTACGAGAGGTTATACAAAGTTGTACTTTATATGCACAGCACATATACACATTTTGCGTATACGTAGATGCAGTAGATCATGCACTTCAATGTACCATATGATGCACACTTGCACAGCACTTTTGTATATTGGCGATGCACGTCATGCGTGTGGGTATGTTTGGAAGAACGAGTCCTACGGGTCCTCCCAAAGTTTGCGCTCAGCTGCGAAGTGTTCAACAAAAACTGAAAACTGATGGGTTCGCCAAAAAATTGCAAAGACGAGTCCAAAAAGAAGGCTTTTTGAGTTGTTGCTCTCGCAAGGTCGGGCGCTTCCTGTTGCCGAGTTTGGAGAAAGATGGCTTTTTGGCTGCAGGAGTTTTAAAGCAACTTCTTCGAAGAGATCTCAGATGTAGTCATGCTATTTTTTGTCAAACCTTTCGAATATAAGAATTAATTACTGTAAGAATTGATTTAAACGTATATTACTATAATAATTATTACTATATATATATCAGCCATGATATATATATTATTATATTATATATAATTATATATAATTATATATACACATATTATTGTATATACATATTATAATATTGTTATATTATATATATTACATACTATTATTATCATATGATTGAATATCCTCTGCGCAGGAGTTTTCCATATGTTTCTCCAACTTCGGTTCCAACAGGTCATCATGTTGTTGGTGTCAGCCGCTCCAGTCACGTGAAGATGGACCTTTGCAGCTTGGCCAAGGGAGGAGAAAAGTGTATATATGTGTATATACAGTGTAAACGCACTGGAGAACTTTGATGCATTTTGTAATTTTGGGTACAAGTCAAGATGTTTTTTGCAGAAACATAGGGGGATATCAAAAATCATGGTGGTTTTGGAATCTTTTGTGCGGATAAAGAAGGAACACAGCCTTTTGGGATGCTGGAGACACGATCAAGAGAGCAAGATAACATAAACTAGACCGGAACAATACCAAATCCGTCAAAGACTATACATTCAATTCATTCAATTTGCTCATGTGAAATGGGTTACACTGGCAACGTAACAAACACCACTTTGTCAAGAACAAGGGAAAAGCAAACAGATGGAGAACACAGCATGGCAAGATCGACTCACGCAGTTGCCTATGTGTTCCAACCCCAAGCAAAAAGATGACTGCAGAGTGCAAATTTGAGGAGACGAAAGAATTTTTAAAGGTTGACACAACGAGAAGACTATCCACAAGAACTTGCATATGGATGCATATGGACTAGCGGGAAGACCAAGATTGCAAGTCCTGGTTTGATGGTAATGAGGACCCAGTCTCCTGATGTTTGGCGAAACAGTGCATAGTCTTTGCATAGCTTTCCGTCTTTCCATGTCTTTCCGTCTTTCCATGGCCTGCTCTCGATCCTTTTTTTGCTCAGCTGGTGGAACTGAGACGGCATGACGGCAACAAATTCTAAATCTTTCAACGAAAAGAAAATAAACAAATATAAAAGAGAGAACGAAAAGAGGAGGGATATGAAGGGATTTGGTTTCCTTCCAGATTTCAGAAACAGTCCATGTTCATTGCATGAGGCAATTCGACTGATTGCGAAGCAGTTCTTCGCGAGGCACTTGAATCTGCCGAGGTTGTAGATATAGAACTATCTCAATCAGACATGTGAAAGAAGAGATGCTCTTTTGGAATAGTCAGAATAGTATATAAGATGATATAAGATGTGTTTTTGACATGTTTTTGACGTGTTTAAAGGATCGGTCCGACAGGTGAAGCCCGATGTCATTGTCCACACTGCAGCGGGGATGCCTAGATGGCTTGAGGCTCAGCAACCAGACATTCGATGACAGAGCCAGCAGCCAGCACCAACGTTCCAATATATATATATATATACATAATATTTACCTTATATTATATATATGTACAATATATATATAATATATATATATATCCAAAGACTTGAAAGTTTCAGAGTGCACAATCTCAAGAACTTTGAAGTCATTTGAAGTCCCTCTTGTTCAGCGTTGAAGGCCGTGGTATCAATCCTACATCTCTCACAGGACAACTTTGCAATACTTTGCCTTTTGTGATGCTTTGAGGCCCTTAGTTCTCCAGCAAAATGTGCCTCGGTTGATACACGACACAGAGGAAGGCACTTGGCCGGAACCAATGGAACTCATAGAACTGTAATGCTAGTCTTTTGGAGAAGGCTTAAATTCTGTGAAACTCGGCCAATGGAAATTGTCATATAGTCAAGGCAAGATGGTAGAGTTCCCATAGTTCCCATCCCACATAGTTCCCCAAACAAAATTACATGAAGCATTGCAGCATGCGATAGAAATGCGTTGAGCAACGGGTTTCGCGGTCTTCTGAGACATCAAATAAACATCTCATTCTTTTCTAAAATTTGCCATGTTCCAAATTACCAAAGCTTTCCAAAGTCTGAAAGATTCTGAAGCTTTTCCCACTGTGCCTCAGGCGAGGAGGATGAAGCTCTGACCCGAAGCTACAATGTCCCCCGATACTTTGCAGAGAAGGCGAAGGAGGTGAATGAACATGTGAGGCCTGGGTCGTTTGAAGAATCTACGGCCCATTTTCTGCATTTTCAGGCTATGATCAACGATGTGTCACCAAACATAGCTCTACAAAGTGGCGCAAGATAGAAGCAAGTCAAGTCTTTGTTCACGGTCAAGCAGATACGATATGGACTTGGCATTACTTGGTGTCAACTTTTTGTCAACTGGTATGCATGTGGATTGGGTCTTGTTTTGAGCCGTCCATTGCGCGGAAGGTTCATTTTTCTGTCAACCGACCAAGTGCATGATGGCAAAGGTGCTTTGGCACACCAAATCCTTGAGTGCAAGAAGAACAAATAGAAAACGATCTAAGAAGCCTGTTTTGCAAATTGAGTTGGCACTGGACAAGCTGACTTGGCCAAGGTCGGTTAGTTGGTGAATCCGGCGATGTACAGCCGGTCAATGCCTCTTGGTCGAAAATTTGGGCTGACAGGGCGTTAGGGATGTTTCGACATGTTTCGACGATATGCGGAAAGCACAGCACGTATTTGAGTGAATTCTGCGTGTGAATCATGTTGATTCCAGAGAAGGAGAGCATACTGATTCCAAACAAATGGCTGGCTCGTGTAATTCTAGGTCTATGGGAAGTCCAAATTGGAAATGGAAACTGTCACTTGGTGAGCAAGCAGGCACCTGTTTGGACAAGATAGTTTTGCATAGTTTTGCAGGACCTATCGTCCTCTTCCTGCATTCCATGAGAGCAGACCATTCATTGAATCTAAATCGTGTAATGTAAGACCAGAGGAGTATTGCTTTAAGAGCCCCGTTTCCATTGGTTGCAACAGATGGCTTCTCGGCTTCCAGATCAAAGATATCTTGGTAGCTGGATGTAGCTGGTATGATTTCTTTTTGTCCTTCATTATGTAGTTCCCTCGAGATTGAGATTCTGCAACACAAAGAATGAAGGATGACAAGCACCAAGAGGAGGAAACACAAACTGTAATAAATAGCAGCATGACATATCTTGACATATCTTGACATGCCCAAAGACCTTTGAGTAGCAGATTCATCTTGTTGAAACACTGCAACAAGCAGCCAGGTTGTGCAGCAAGTCTTTGACAAATATGCAATTTTCCGAATGTCGTATCTTGGCGACCAAACCAAGATATCCAAGCAATTTTGTTTCAGCTTTTGTGCTTCACAGGAACTGCCAGCTCTCTTGTATAGTTTAATAGCCCATTCGTCGGAAAGAATATGGTTATCATTATATAAGCAGTGAAGTCTGTCATTGACTACATTCTTGACCTAGTAGACTGGCTTATGTTTTAGATGAGGTTTGTCTTTGGACCAGAAATAGAAGGGGCACACAGCACCTTCCTTCAATTTGCCCTGGACAAGTTGCGGCAAAACAAAGAATTTGATGCTTTTTCTGATCAGACACTTGACCGCAAGAGATAGCCTCGCAAAGCATTCTCTTCCTTGATATTGATTCTACATCCAGCTTGCACTTATCTCAACAAACCATTTTTCAATAATTGCCCTTTTTCCAAATGGCATACGCAGTCCGTACGTTACCTGAATGGAAAAATGAAGTGGCTAAAGAAATTCACCTGAATAGGAAGAGCGTATAGTCTATAAATGTCTATAAATGTCTATAAATGTCTATAAATGTCTATAAATGTCTATAAATGTCTATAAATGTCTATAAATGTCTATAAATGTCTATAAATGTCTATAAATGCCTATAAATGCCTATAAATGCCTATAAATGCCTATAAATGCCTATAAATGCCTATATGCCTATAAATGCCTATAAATGCCTATAAATGCCTATAAATGCCTATAAATGCCTATAAATGCCTATAAATGCCTATAAATGCCTATAAATGTCTATACATGTCTATACATGTCTATACATGTCTATACATGTCTATACATGTCTATACATGTCTATACATGTCTATACATGTCTATACATGTCTATACATGTCTATACATGTCTATAAATGTCTATAAATGTCTATAAATGTCTATAAATGTCTATAAATGTCTATAAATGTCTATAAATGTCTATAAATGTCTATAAATGTCTATAAATGTCTATAAATGTCTATAAATGTCTATAAATGTCTATAAATGTCTATAAATGTCTATAAATGTCTATAAATGTCTATAACTGTCTATAAATGTCTATGAATGTCTATAAATGTCTATAAATGTCTATAACAGATCTTAAAAGTTCAAGCGCAAAACGATGCAATTTTTCCCGAGACTTTAGGATCAGATCTTGTATCTACATCGATGATGTCATAGATGCTCTGCGGCTGGCCGTGAAGGCTGGGCCGGGTCACACGCGGCATCAAACGAGAACCAGCACCATTTGGAAGGACCATGAAATCCTTGTCACCAGGGCAGCTGCCTCAGCAGTAGATACGAATGCCTTGCGGGGATTGGGAGTGCTTGTGTGAAAAGACAAGGCCTTTCTCGAATGATCATGTGAATCATGTGCATTCACATGCACGCAACACAGCAGGGCCACATCGAGGGCATTGTCAACTTGGGAGGCGCTTCAGCAGCAAGTCGCTCTGTAGGTTCGAACATTCTTGAACAAATCATTAACAAATCATTAAGCCGCTTACCCTATGCACCCCTTCACAATATTGCCAGAATATGCCAGAATGTTAAGCCCTGATCTCACCCACCAGTCCCGTGGAAATGACAATTGGTGAGGACCAGAAGCACTCTCACGATTGGACTTCTGCCGAATTGTTGCGAAACATTTTGGCATCAACGAGTCGATAGTTCAAGGTGCGCATCGCATGACTGCGACATGGCTTAACGATGATCCTTTCCTGATTTGTAGCATTACCTTGTGTGTTTTGTGTTGTGTTTTGTTGTGTTTTGATTTTCATGTTACATCATGATCCTGTAGAGTGGGAGTATTGACATAGAGTTGCTACAACTACTGTAGGACAGGAATAACATACTGTAGTGACGGTAGTGCACATCAGACATTGTAACAGGGTAAATAAATCCTACTACGTCATTTTGTATTTTGTATTAGTGGGGTAGAGCAACAGATATTGAACCTGGCAAAGATATGAGAAGATTCCATATTGAAGACTAGATTGCATATTGAAGACTACAGCACAGTGCACTGCAATAATGTCAAGAGCCAGACAGGACCCTGTGCTATGGACAGGTCACCAGCTATAGATAGTGCGCAGTAGCGCCGAACAGTAAGTGTAGTAGTGCACCCTCAGTCTAGGAAAGTCCAAAGTTGCTGGTGTGGATAGTACTCCGCGATGGCACAGAATGTTCTTGGATGGTGCAGAGCAGTTCAGACCAGTTTAGAGAACAGCATGAAGATCATGAAGCAGCTTAGGAGAATACAACGGCATAGAATGATATGAATTTATTCAGGATACCAGGATATCTTCAAAGAATTGCTAGACACCGTAGTGGCTGCACAATGCCAATACCAATGCATTGGGATTCGATACTGCCAGATTGACGTTTTCAACAGAGCAGCCTCGGTCGCTTGCACTCCACAAGTCCTCAAACTCTGTTGGATGACAATGAGAAGACATGTAAAGACATTGGAAATGTGTTGATATTTCCCCAATGACCGGAAGAATTGCAGGGCATTTCAGGGTGCAAATGGCCTCGCCAATCATGTTCCCTGGGTTCAACCAGTTCGATGATTTTTCCTGGTGGGTTTTTGGGCGCAGTGTGGCGCAGTGTGGCGCAGTGTGGCGCAGTGTGGCGCAGTGTTGGAGGTTCTCTGTATCACCTTCCAACACCTTCGCCCGCTGACATCTCCATGAACATCCAACGGCTTGAAAGTGTGTCGCTTGAACAAAGGTTCGGCTCAACAAAGGTTGCAAAATGTTCCAAATTGGTTCCATGTTTCAATCTCTGGCTCAACGAGTTGATTTCAGCAACAGGTCAATTTGACGATGGTAGATGAAACGTGGGTTCAAATACGTTCAAGTCAACTGCCAATTTTTTACAATCTTTTTATTGATCGTCGCAACATGTTTCAATATTTTAGCGGTCATGTTTTTTCCAGGATCACAAGTACAACGGCCATCAAAGACACACCTGTGGGGGCCAAAATTCTGAGGATGGGGCGACTGCGGAGCTTGGATGAAGCTCTGAAGATCATGAATCCCAAACTTTGAGCCATGAAACCAGCCAAAACATGGCATGGCCAACAAGGAAGCCAGCAAAGTATCACAGATATGAAAGCTTGGCGTGTGTTCATCAAACTAAGTGATCATTGGTGCTTGCAACTTGTTTAGTGTCCAGGCGTGTTGAGTCGAGCTGGCTGAAGCTGCAAAGCACATGGTTTCAGCCAGCTTCTGCAGTTCGAACATATGCAGCGCTCAGAAAATTGTGGCAACTTGCAGCCGATGTGCAGAGAACTTCTGAGAGGTAGCTGTTGTGTAGAGGCTTTTTGTTGCGTGATATCAGGGTGTTATTGTGCTTCCCCAGAAAGCTGAGGCCTTCTATTTCATTCCGGATCCCCCAACCCCCTGTACAGTTTGTAAATTCATAGTGGTCTACATATGTTTTACTATGGCTATGTGTTTGTGCAATACACGTTCATCCGTTCATTCCTTTTTACTCCTTGACTTTGAACACAACCTCTGAGGTTCACGAAATACCAGCGGCATCGCCACCCAACCTATCGTTTTTCCAGGTGGCTGAAGCCCTCAATGTATCTCAATGTTTGTTCTTGAGCAAGGCGATAAATTGAAGGAAGGTCTGAGGTATGTTTGAGGTCCATTCGTGGTTTGCCCTCTGGGATTGCGCCTGTTTAAACTCTCGATATGCAAAGATTGCAACACTTGAACTTGTTTCTTGGCTGCGATTCAAATTTGTCTTTGCTGGCCCTTTCGAACGCTTTCACCAGCATGAGCGCAGATTCACAATGAAATGATGCTGAAGGAAGTCTGTCAGAGAACTCTGCAGACAAACTAAGTCACAAACCGACTGACAAAGCAGTCACCAGATGTCACCAGACAACCTTCCCCACTAGTCATTGGTCAACTCGCCTTAACTCGCTATTCACGGCTGAGCAAGTCAGCCAGTTCTCAACTCTCAAAGCACCAGAGGTTGGCTGAAAGTCTGTGGTTATGCATAAGTTTCGGGTGCAACAATTGCTCGAGGTTGCTAACAATTGTAACAAATTGTAACAAATTGTAACTAGTTCATAGCTTTGACATGCTTTGACTGTACAATATTTAGATAAAATATTTAAAATGGCTGGAGGCCGCAGAATCTGCTGCAGCTGCGTTGGGTGGAGCAGCTATTTGCGCTGCTCACAGGAGACCCGGCCTCTCTGTTTTAAGCACCGTGCATCACCGTGCCATTTGTTTTCAAAACACCAAACCAATCGGAATATGTCATACTGCCATATAATATACTGCCATACTTAGTACTGGAATTCCGGAGCCAACAGTTCCTTCATGGGAGGACAAGCCTATCCAGTTTCTTTGCCAGCTTCAGCTTGCGACCAAGATACCAGCAAGCACGCAACGATCATGCGGAAAGAACTCCATGTTCCAATCTTTCCAGTCCCTTCTTTCGCTGCAGATGCTTTCTCTGAAAGAATTGGTGACGCAACTTTGACCGGAGCGGACTGCAGACTGCAGACCCCAGGTGAATTCTGCAAGATGGATGGCTTGGACTCAGCAACTGGAAAGTTGCGTCTTGATTGAAATGAGACATGACATGACAAAACTGAAGAACTGAAAGCACTGAAAGCATCAGAAGTCTTGTGAGATGTTCACAGTTTCAGAACTAGTAAGGTGTGGTGGTGAATTTGCAGAGAAGCCTTCCGAAGCACCGAAACTCAGAGTATCCACGCATTGGAATACAGTTTCATCATGGCCCCCTCCTTGACCTTTGCAGCGTGATTTGGAGACCATACTGTACAATGCCATAAGACCTCTTCCTGATGTCCTTACCTTGCAGTTGTGCTTTTGAATTCTAATGGCGCCACGGGCCACATCGCAACATGTGCAGAAACCCAGACACGTAAAACTATCACAGAGGTACGTACAAAACAAGACGCAGCACACCACTACACTGCACTTTAGGCTATACTATATACCTAATTAATCCTAATTGTATACATATATATATAGAGTTTATATGGACCTTAGTATGTGTTTATGCATATACACGACGTCCGTTCATATCGTCATCGTTTGATTTGAATCTCGTAGTCCACTCTTGGCCGAGCAGCTTTACTTAAGTTCCATCATCGTGAAATACCCGACTTTTTTTTGCTTTGTCCATGCTGATCTGCCGCCATGCCCGATTGAAATCCCAATGAGTGCTGCGCTGATTCTGCAGAAGATACTTGGACACAGAAGCAATGCAGCATGCAAAATTGCTAGAAGCAATGCTCAAGCTTTCAAGCCAATCAGCATCAATTCGCCATCGGAATTGGAATCCTGGGCCGACCTGCACAGCACCTGGTCAGAGCCCAAGGAATGGCTTCAAAGAAGTCCGAAGGATTGGAGAAGGTGTGGCCGGTGTGGGTTTAAGCATTGAGATGCATTGAGCAATGCACTTTGTGACACACTCCAATGCACCGGACAAGATCAGCCATGTCCCCGCTGCAAAATGAACTTTGCAAATCCTTCAATAATATATTAACATATATAATTACTGTATATATATATATATATATTATATCTATATCTTTCAGTCTGCTTCAATCTCCACTCCAATCCAACTCTCCTGACCGCTCCTCAACTTTCTACTGTACTTGTAGTGCCTCATGCTTCATATGGTCACCATGTGTGTGTGTGTGTTGCCCATGGACCTCGACTGTTTCAGGAGCCTTTGGACAGGCCGTTCTGGTGGAAGATGAGCAGGGCTCGAAGTTGGTCTGCAACTTGAACGGCGATAAGACAGAAGAAATACGTAGAAATATATAGAAATATCAGAATCAAGGAGGAACGCTCTTGAAAACAGGAACCAGGATGAAGCTGGAAGGAAAAAGCGCGAGTTCCATGTCGGAAATTGGCCTTTGTTCAGAACACTTCCATGCCCAGGTACGGTGGTATGTGCATGAGCAGTTTCTGAGTATTTCGGAGTTGAATGCCAATGCATGCCCATGCCATATGGCTTGTCTTTTTACCAAGGCAAGATGGTGGATGTGAGAGAGGCTCGCACGATTTTTCTTTGTTCGCTTTGTTCGCTTGGTTCGGTTTGGTGGTAATCTTCGGACTGTACTTGGTTGTTGGCCGTTGATTACGTTGATTGATCTTGGTTGCTGCATGTTGCGAAAATGACGGTTGTGTCTGAAGCACAGAATTTCATTGCCTTAGGCCTCACCCAAAGAGGTGCAGGAAACTCTCAAGGAGGCACAATTGCTGGCGTCCTTTAAGTGACTCGACGGAAGTGCGACGAGACAAACCTTCGACAATGTACCAACGTACATGGTTTCGTTACATATATCACTTCGCAGCATGGCAAAACAATACTTTCAAGATAGGATCTGGCAAGAACATATCTGAAAGTGTGTGTGGTAGTTCTTTGTTGCAGTCGTAGCACGTCCAGTGTTGGGAATGGGATTGATGCTGCAGAATCCATCCATTGAGACAGACAATACTGGCAATCTCAAGAAAGGATCAGGCTTCAGTATCAAAATGCCTTTGTAAGTATCAGGAGGGTGAAGACACATGAACGCATGACTAATCTGCCTGCCATATGCCTTGCATTTTAGGCATCCTTTCATTGTGGACTACCGCAGCAACTTCCTGGACGGTGGCCACCTGACAATATCGCTATAGCATGTTACAGTGCAAAGATACGCAGAGGGTGATTCAATTGGAAGAGCGTGACTGAACCTTAAATAGATTTGCTCGTAAGAAAGGGAGTGGATGGAGAGGTACTACCACAATTGCCAGATGTTGCGAGCACAGCAAGCTTCGCTTTGTTGCAATTGATTTTGCACTCTTTCCTCACCGGGCCGGATTAAATTTGCAAGGCCGCTTCTACAAATCAGGAGTAGAAAACCCACGGGAAGATCCCATGATTGGCAATAATGTTGAGAATTTCAAGAAAATGGACTTGCAGTGCCTCAGTTGCAAAAGACCCACATATTTGCGAAGACAGCATGTAGACCACGACAAGCTTAAGGATACCTTGGCATTTTCATGGCCTACTGTGAGGGAGGTGACCTGGCCACTCAGGCAGGGGTACGATTTTGTTATCGAAGCATCCCAATCCGAGCTGTCAGACTAGCTATGACGCAGCTATGACATCTATGACATCTATGACTAGCTGATGGGAAACCATGCCTATTTGAAGAAGGGTCAACAAGACACGTCTCGTTCTCAGCAAAAAGTTCCGAGCATTCTCCTTTCGTTTTTTTTTTTTTTGCCTTTTTTCTCATTTTCCAATTCTTTTCCAATTCCTTTTGTTTTTTCTTTTTTCTGCCGAAATGTCAGATCAGCCTGGCGCGCGATGCTCAGCGGCGTATCGCAGAGCCGCAGATCCTGAGATGGATGACCCAGGCGGAGAATCCGAAATGCATCGAAATGCACTATCCCAGTCTATCCCAGTCTATCCCAATCTATCCATGTCGGCCATGTCAGCCATGTCAGCCATGTCTCGTGAAAGCGTCTTGTGACTTGTGCGTGCTCATCTCCTGATGTCAGGCAAAATGGTGCCGGCAATGTTGTCAATATGGGAATGATGAAGTGCAAATGTAAGTACAACATGTTCTGTACATCATACAAAACGTTGATAAATGTACTTTACCTCCTTGGAATCACCACAGAATGTGTTGAGTTGCCCTTGGTTTGGACCATGCCGTTCACATGGACCTTTCTGCGTTTCTCAATTTCAACATGAACAAGACCCACCCGTCAATGATTCTGTGAGTACAGATCCAGAACCTTCATAGTCTTGATTTGGATTTGCTGCAAAGACATAGTCGCGCAGGCACCAAACAGTTGTGTGATCCAATAAGGATCGTTAACTACTGTCTGCTTTTCTAGATGGAACCGAGATATTTTATGCTGACGCTGCTGTCAGTGAGTTATTCATAAGCATTTAACGTTTGCAGTCTAGCTTTTAATGCTGTCGAGTAATTATCTAGCATGTGTTTGCCTAGCACATATACATGGATTGATATGCACCATGCACATGTACAGTAATGATAGATATTTTGTATATGCAACATGCGTGTATCATGTGCCCGGAGACATGGATGTTCCTGATATCTCACCCTTTTAAGATAGAGATCCTTGGGCACTACCCGCTCGAACCATCAGCATCCACGGCATCGACACCACCAGTTTCGTCACCGGCACCAAACATGTCTTCTTTGCACAACATGTCTTCATCATGAAACTGCTGCCCCAGCACCGTCAGGTTGGTGGGTTTTGCGGCACATACCCAACATTGACATATTAGATATACAGAGCGATGATAAACGTGTGCAAACTGCTTCATGCATTTGCATTCCTTGACATCTTCACAAAGATCTATATGATCTATGACATGCTTGTTTTGGGCATTTGTGGCAGTTGTCGCAGACTTCTCCCAGTGGTTTCATAATTTGGGGTAGGGACCCTCTTCGCACGCTTGTTGGATGGTGACAGGCGCTGCTCGCGCTGAAGTACATCCACGACAAACACGTGCTTCATCGAGCTGCTTGCCAAACGGACAAAGAATTCAGCAAAAACATGATCAAAACTGACACGTAAATACACTACACGTGACTACGAACAAAGACAGGTATGACGCCGTCCATATTCAGGGAAGCAGCAATCCAGGCGCACAGACCAGTTTTGAGCCACCAAGGATCTCAAATCTGGAAACTTCTTCTTGTCCAAAGCTGGCAACCTGGATTTATTTTATTTCGATTTTTAGAGGCTGGTGCTTTACACCCTTTACACCTTAGACGTTGCACACCGCACCAGTTTACAAACCCCTGCGGTTTGGCCTTTCGCAAACCAGACGGATTTGATTGTGCGTTCGTGATCCAAACCCGTCCAAGCGGAAACTGTCTCAATCTTCTGTCAGAATCTTTCAATTGCACACCATATGTGAGAACCAGCGCGCTATCTAGTAGGGCACCATAGGGCACCAGCTGGGAGGGCAATCAATAAAAACAAAACAATCAAAATAAAATAAAATAAATCCTTGGAGGGCCCGATGTTTTGGTTTTTTCTTATTTTTTCTTATCTTTCCACCTTCGCAGGCCCAACCCAAATAGTCACCTACCAAGTAGTGACCTCATCCTCATAATTGAGTATATCACATTGAGCAATTTATCTCATGGCTGAAATCGACATGGCACACTTCGAGGCAATTTGAAGATGGGGGACTTTGGCATCGCCAAAGTTCTCAGCTCAACACAGGCACTCGGGGAACTTGGCGAACCTGGCGAACTTCTTTTGTTTGGCGGGACTTGACAGTTGTTTGTTTGGCACAGTTGAATACAGTTGAGCTCTTTTGGACAGTCAAGTACTTTGGCAGCATGTGGACAAGATGCAAGACTATGGAACCTGCTGGATGCATCTGGATTCAGTGAAGCAGTCAATGGACTATTCGAAGCATTTCCAAACATTGGATGATCTTGGATGGTTTTCAAATGTTTTCAAGTAGTTTTCGATTTCTCAGACCTTGGAGATCCTTGGAGCCTTGGAGGCCATCGCAAGAACTGCAATCGGTACTCCGTACTACCTGAGCCCAGAGGTCTGTCAGGAGAAGCCGTGACTTGGTTCGAAGCCTCTCCGTCCCTCGACTCCCTCGACTCCCTCGACCTGTCAAGAGTTCTGTGGATTTTGTGTGGATCCGGTGTGGATCACTCTCAAAGAATCCTCGCCAAATTGGGTATGAGCAGGTTGATTTGAGTTGATTTGAGTTGATTTGAGTTGATTTGAGTTGATTTCAGTTGTTTTGTTCCCAAGCAGTTGCAGCTTGTTTCATGATTTGCTCCGCTTGTTCGTCTCGAGTTTGTCCCAGGCGAATCCCGTGGATTCACTTCTCGCATTTTCATTTATTTTCGTTGAAATCGAGAAATTGTTAGAAATTGTTAGAAAGGCACAAACGAAGGAACCCGAGGCATTTTGCAAGGTTTTAAGGTTTAATTGAATATATTGAATGACCTTGTGCATCTTCAGAGAGACTGCGGCATGTCAAATACATGGGTAATGTTGCGCATTAATTAGTGGGATGGCTGTAGATTGGGGGATGGTTTTCCGAAAAGCCGCCAAAAAAATCAAAGCAGTAGAATCGGCATTCCTGGAAAGAAAGGCCCTTCTTCATTCATATATCATATAGTTGCCTGATTTCATGAAATTGTTGGGTTTGCGGCTGCACAAAGCAGCGTTGGTGTGAAAGTTTGACCACGTGCACGGAGAGGGCCCATGTGAGCGTAATAATTACCACTTTGCGATTGATGAGGCCGAGAGGTGTTGGAACATTTTGAGAAAACACCTCATGGCCAACCCAAACTGAGCTGGGACGATGCCGGTACCAAAACACCTCAAGCACAAACGTACAAACAAAGCACAAACAAGGGTTCGGCATGGTTCCGCATAACTCAGATATTGTAAGGGTACCGTATGTGCGCAGTATGGTACCGTGAGAGATAGGACAGGATCACCTGTCAATCCTCCGAGGTATGCTTGGCCTGCTGACATTTGGGCTATGGGGGTTATCCTCTACGAACTATGTGCGTTGAAACTTCCTTTTGACGGAGGCAGGGATTGTTGTCGATTCAAACGTGTTCTTGAGGGTTTATTTTGTTTCGCATTTGGAAGATTTTGGAAGATGTTACAGGTTGACCGGTTTGCTGTCCAAGGATCCAACATGGTGGTCCTTGTGCAGAGCATAATTCGGGGAACGGCTCCGCCACTGCCAGAGGACGGACTCAGGGACGTGCTGAGGGCAGCACTGCAAGAGGAACAAAAGCAGTATCTGCAGATATCTGCAGTGCTCAAGCAGATGATCATTGTCTAGAATCACTTCAGAAGAATCCAAATCACAGAGAGGCAAACTATAAGACCGATCCACATTGAAATCATTTGCACTTGTTTGGTGCCTCTTAGCCGATAGTTTTTGGCTGAAGGAATACTCCACGTTCATTCGTGGACTGTGTCACTTAGCGGAATTTCAGCTGCTGCAAGGCAGAGCCGATGGAGTAGGCAGCTCCTTATGACTCGGTACACGGCTCGAACAAGTGGCTATTTGTATTGTTGGTTCGTTGAATATTGTTGATGATGTGACATTAGCGTTGCAAAGACGTAACACCAGCCACTGGCAACCTCCAGAAAGGTGTTCTGTGTTTTGCTATTGGCCCCCGAGCAAGTTGCTATTTACCTCCCAGCAAGTCTGGAGTGATTTATCGAAATGTCATCGCTTTGACCGGGTTTAAAAGCCTATGACTGTATATGGGGATCTTTCTAAAACCCTCCTGTTCAAATTTAGTTTGCGGGTTTGTGATGGTTTGTGGAGAACTTTGGGGTAGCTACACATTTCTGAAATCAGACGAATCAGGCACTGAGATGCTGAACAAAGTCCCTGCCAAACGCCCAACGGCTGGGGCGATCCTGTTGCTGGGCAGCAGACCTCCGTAGAGAAAGCATGAACTGGCAAGTTCATGCGAGTTCATGCGAGTTCATGCGAGTTCTGCAAATGCATCAGAGGCCTATGGCTCCATAGTGATCAAGGATGATCTATATTGTGATCGATGGATGATCATTCTATTGCCAAATCTTGACGTTTTTCAACTGCCAAGCATAGACCATCATGGACCTTTCTAGCTGGCCTCAAGAAACTGTAAAGGGGTGAGGGCACAGGATATGTGTTTCGAGGCAATTAAAAAAACACTGGGACTAAGTACTCTTCCAGGAACTGTGCTGGATAAACGTCTCAAGTCTCATTGAGATCCTTGTTTGATCTTGGTTTCTTGCTTGTGCCGCAACTTGGCGCACACTTTTCCGTGATAGACTTTTTGACCTCCGACCATTTTTTGCTGCAAGTGGCAGACGGGTTCAAGCGGTTCAAGACTCGAAAGATTCCGAAATATCTCATCACGAAGTCCCAGGAGCCGAGGGCCTTTGCAAAGCATTGTTCAGAGTTTCTTCGAGGAAGCCCGTGCCAAGGCTCCCCGGACTCCCCGGGTTTGAAATTTGAGCCGTTGTATGCCGTTTTTGTTATTCCCTTGTTGAACTATATGTTGAACTAAGAAGCAAAGAGTCCTTGGAGAACCAGCTTCTGAACTTCATCAAATGTGCTGCCGTGTGCTGCTAACATGTTGGTTGTCCTTACAACATGTCTTGTTTGTAGGCCAGGGAAACGCAGGAGGCGTGGTCAGTCTCACACTTTGGAGTTCGGCATCTCGTGTGTACTTCTGTTGCTTATGTATTTTTAAACCCTTCAGAGGGTGTCCCCGCTCAGGCGTTGCCCGCGGTGCAGGTTGTGAAAGAGCCGAAGCTGCAGCCCCAGAGCATCATAAACCGGTTGGCATTGATTGGACAAACAGTAACATATTTTCAGATGTGCTTCTCCCATCTTCTCCCCATATTTCAGTGACATGTCTTCCCAAGAATCTGAAGAGATCTAAAATCTAAGAGAACAATTTTTCTGCAGCAGATGCAGAGGTTGGCTAAAGAGGCACAAAGGAGGACCACCAAAACAAAGCGAGCATCATCCGAACATCCTTGGGAGAAATTTGGGATAAATCCTTCTGCTTCGTGGTTGAGACCTACAAACAGAGCGCCCCTGGCAACTTGTTTGGCCTGCAGGTTGCCCTCAAGCAAAGCGCCGGTGCTTGGCCTAGTCACGGATCCCCCAAAGAAAAACTTGTGGACAAACATCAAGGCCCTGGGGCTCATTGCGGCAAGAGAGAGAGAGAGAGAGAGACAGTTTGAAGAACAACACTGGTTCAATTTGCGCAGTCAAAAGTCGTGGCCCACGTAGATGTCAGCCGATTGGTCACTGAGTCAAGTGTCAGTCACGTGTCAACCACCCCTTGAAGAATTAGTCAGAATTATTTGAACCACCGAACTGCTGCTTGTGAAGACGGTTGCTGTCCAACGGTCTCTAGTCTCTAGTTTGTTAAAATTCTCGAGATGTAAATTCATGTAATAAACATAATTACTAAGTATATTGTATCTATGCGTATACACACATACACAATATATATATTAATATATATATATATATATCAATATATCATAATGTATAATAATGTGTGTACATATATATATATACACACGTATATACAATATACAGTTGCTGGTCGGCACGTTCTGACTGATCCAAGGTTTCTGCAGCCTGCTCAACACAGCTGCTGGATCAAATGCTCCAGGAATCCGACAGTACGGAGGAGCCACTGGTTTGGATAGGTGTCAAGATACGTCGCGTGCGATTGTGTAACTCTTTTGCTGAAGAAAACAGGTGACAGTTGTGTCAAAAATTGACGAAATGCGGTTGTTTTAGAAAGAAATCTGCGTCTTAGCACCCTTCCTTGGTGTCTCTGATCGGTTGCAGGCCTCACATCAGGAAGCGCCTGCTATAGGCATCGCTGGCGGCGACATGTCTCTGGAGGACTGATTCAGACTGCAAACATGCCAAGAGACAGTTGACTGATTTAGAATGCCATTGTGTCTATCTCAGAGTCTATCTCTCATCATGATACCATGTCAATTGGTGGTGTATTGTGCTTAGTGACAGAATCAAAAATGCAAGAGTAGTTTCGGGGGATGGGTAATCAGTGAGCATCTAAGAAGTCTGAATCCCGCTACCGTCTTGCCAAGCTGCCCAAGCTGCCGAAATGCCCAAGCTGCAGATCAAACATGTAAAGACTTGGCCCAAATCGCTTGCATATATTTGAACATCATTTGAACATAGTTGAAGTGTATCGAAGTCAGCGTTTGTTTCGTGTCGCAGGATCAGTGCAGTGAGCTCCTTGCAGAGTTGGGTTTGGATGGCGATGATCCACAGGATACTGCAGGCGGTACAGCTTTTGCAATGCCATCATGTGCCATTCAGATTCTTCAAATTGCATCTAGGATAAATCATCCTTTGCCAATCTGTGCCAGCTTCTGCCCTTTCCAGATTTTTCCAGCTTGTTGGCAAAAGGAAGAGTTCAATCAAGCCTTGGCTATGCTGGCAATTTGCAAAAGTTGGCTTTAGCCCTCAAGCCACGATTGGCCTCATGCCAGGATCACTCACCCAAGCCGAGCTGGATCTGCTTTGCAGCATGCACCCTGTCAGGATAGGCACGTTTCCTGATGTTTCCTGATATTAGTGATGGACAGACTATGAGTATGCATGGTCTTCAATAGTTGTGTGGCCCATTAGGCTTCAGATTGCTTCATGCACTGATTGTACACGATCTAAAATCTCTCCCCGAGGTAGCTGCGGTAGCTCTGTCTTTGCTCTGAAGATCATCAGCCATCTGAGAATTCGCCGCGTGCGAATGTGCAACTTTCCACGAGCCTTACAGTCGAAATAGATGAGTACTTGATAAACCCGGCTGTACAACTTTTGTATAACTTGAAAGTTTGAGAGCTTTGCTGATTTTTCTGTGACTCCCGGGAAAACCGTATCTAGTACTTCAACAGGGGTAGAAATCCATTATCGTTCAGGATTTTGAAAGCATTGTATTGGGCAGGTATTGGTTTGCATTTCGCGTTTCAGAGGCACTCAGATTCTCTGAGGCTGAAATGCATCTGTTTCACTCTTACGGGTGCTTTTGGGAAAGCCACCCGCTAAACCTCAGCCCACTCTGCGCAGTTCGCCGATCAAGCACAAAGGACTCAAAATCAAAAACCTTAGGGCCTTGGTAAATGGCTTGGTATTGCCTTCCTGCTGGTGGCTTTCCCAGATCTCCTTTGACCTAGTCAGGAGAGCCTCGTCCAAAATCAAGCCCCTTTGGAGATGCAGTGCAGCCTGCTTTCTGACACGGTGGAAGATCTCTGTGTGAGCTCTGGAGTGTTCTGCGTGCGCCACGAATCTCAGGGCAAAGAAGAAAAGACAGAATCTTGCAATGTGGAGGAGGCACGGTTTGGCACTTGTGTGCACGCAACTTCAGACATTTCTCGATGCTGGAACGTTTTCAGATGCGTAATTTGGCCATACTCTAGAGGGCAAACGAGAGCAAATGTTTTTAACTTTTCTACTCCCTTGAACATTCTCAAGAAGCGCAGGTCCAGCAGCCGAAATGGCGCAGGCGTCTCCTAGCGGCAGGCCTTGTAGGCTCTGCGCTGCCGTGCTTTTGGCGTTTTTCACACGTCGTGAAGTTTTCAGGATTTTCACGGTTTCACGTTTTGCACTCTTTCACACCCTGCGCAATTCTTCATGTCCAAAACGTGTCTTTCGGAAGTACAATGTAATAAAAAGATACATAAAGGGTGGGCCCTTTGTGGGTTAATGCAAGCGGTAGGGAAACACGCATGAAATACATGAGAATACATGTCAATTGTCTAAACCTTCTCCCGCGGAAAAGTATGGAACAACCATCACACATGTCAATAAATTCCTTGTTCTGAAGTGGCCTTCATGATACGCTGACCCACTGATAACAAGTGTCAAAACTGTATCACGTAGATAATGGTAATACTGTGTTGTACGGCAGGACTAAACCAAAAGTGCTGGCATTCCGATGGTGGTACTCGTAGCTGTGATTGCTTGCTTTCTTCCAGGCATGGTGTAATTTTTGCAGCCGAAGCATGATTAAGTGATATTAAGTGCAGGCGGGGGATATACCACTTTCGGATTTTGTTGCAAGGTTCGAAAGACACGGGCAACAGTGCTTCAGCATACCAACAGTTTAACCATCAATGCTTGCAATACTCCTCAATGGTTTTCAGAGCGAGGGCTGGTATGGGCTGAATTGTGACAAATTAGAAACAAAACACTGTAGGCATCTAAAGTCGAATTAATCCAACATACCCTGTTGATATAACTAATGTATATATATAAATCGAAGGACGCTTAGAAGTCAAACTTCTGACAATATGGACAGATGAAAAGCAGAGGTGGGAAGAGTCAGAGAAGAGAAGAGAAGAAGAAAGAATACCAGGGAAGACAAAGAGTCATAAGACAGAAGATGCAGGTGCGGGAAAAGGTCGCAAAGTCGCGAAACGCTGTGTTTTTCCAATGATTTGTGGCTCCGGAGGGTCGAAAAGTAGGCTCGCTAAAGCGGCGGGTGCAGAGCCATCTGGCCAGATGAGAGATGAAAAGTTGCACACCGTTGTGGCGCGAAGCACATTTCCAAGTCAAAATGCACAAAGCACATGACGTTCGGACCACTGTTGGAAGTTGAGATGTCAAAAAAAGTGCCCCCGCGTTGTGGCGCGAAGCACATTTCGAAGTCAAAATGACAAAAGACACCATGTTCGGACCACTTTTGGAAGTTGAGATGTCGAAAAAGCGCCCGCCGTTCTGGCGCAAAGCACATTTCGAATTCAAAATGCGCAAAGCACACCTTTCTCGGCCGAACAAGCGCACCCCGCTGTGGCGCGAAGCACATTTCTAAGTCAAAAGCAAAAAACTGAGGCGGAGGCGCACTTTTGGACGTTCAGATGTCGTTTTTTGGGACAGGCGCAGGGGATTGTGCACCTTGTCAAAAGTGAGCAAAACGTCAAGGTTTTGTGGTATTTCAATTCCAACCACCACTACACTACACTACGCTCCACTATACACTACAACTACAACTACAACTGCGCTACACTTACACTAATTGCACTACACTACACTACGCTACGCCCAATTACACTACACTAGACTACACTACACTAACTACAGCTACAACTACAACTACAATCTTCTATGAGAACAGGGAGTCTAATCAGGAGGGATCATAATCAAACTGGGAAAAATAACAAATAGTAAATAATGATAATAAATAATAAACTAAGATAAGAATAAATAATACCAAATTGTAACAAATAATGGAAGCTATCGAAAAAATATACAAACATAATTAAACATAACAAACAATACTTAAAATTATGGATTCAATTACCTTCCAGAACTGAGAAAACTTGAAAAAATAAAAAAAATAGGAAAACAGAGAAAAAAAGAAACCAATAATAAAAAAAATAGAAAAATAGAAAAAAATAGAAACACATAGAAAAATATAAAAAAAATAGAAAAAAATAAAAAAAACACAAAAAAATAAAAAAAAATAAAAAAGAATAAAAACAAATAAAAAAATAAAATATTCTGGGGGCGCCGAGGCAGATTTCCTTTAATTTTCTGCAGTTTTGCTTCACAATTCCATTGTTTTATTGCAGTTTGGACTACCCTAGTTCATTTCTGAATATGATCCCTTTGAATATGAGCCCAAAGCTCATTGATGATACAACTACAACTACACTACACTTCACTTCACTTCACTTCACTTCACTTCACTTCACTACACTCAATTACACTACGCTACACTACAGCTACAGCTACAACTACAGCTACAACTATATTTACATTATATACTACAACTAATAATATCAATATTGTTAAGACTACAACTACAAGTACAACTAAAACTACCTTACACCACACTAAGCACATTGCACTACACGACGCTACACTACACTACACTACACTACACTACACCACACTACACTAATTACACTACACGACACTCCACTTCACTTCACTACATTCAATTACACTACACTACACCACAGCTACAACTACAACTGAAACTACATTACACTACACTAAGTACATTACACTACACGACTCTACACTACACCACACCGCACCACACGGCAACACACGGCACCACACGGCACCACACGGCACCACACGGCACCACACGGCACCACACGGCACCACACGGCACCACACGGCACCACACCACCACACTACACTACACTACACCAACTACAACTACAACTACAGCTACAACTACAACTACAGCTACGCTACTTTACACCACGCTAAACTAGATTACACTACACTACACTACCCTACATTGTATAACACTACACTCATTACACCACCACAAATGCAACTGCAACTACACTGCGCTAACCAGACTACACCACAACTACAACTCCACTACACTATAGCTACAACTACAGCTGCGCTACACCACACTACATCCAGCAGTTGTGAGTGAGGTGACCGACCAGGTGGCCACTGCAACCATTGCAACCATTCCAAAAAACACAACTCCAACCACCTTCGGTCCATCAGTGGATTCGCTCTTCCATCCGTGATTCACAACAAATAACCCCTCCTATAGGTTTCTTATTTTTGAAACTTCCGCCGCCGCCTTGCGTGGCACTACTGGTATCTGCACTGATTAATTGTACATTGAACCGATTCTATGTAGTCAAAAGGTCAAAGCGCATCAACCCCAAACATTTTTTCCAACAGAACACAACGCAGCAAAATAGTTGAATTGTAGACTAGAACCGTGCTTCCAGAATAACAATGTTTCTTTTGGGTTATCTTGGCGGCGCTGCCAGGGTGCTAACCAAACGGTATGAATCAAATGTTTGACCGTTGCGACGCTGCAGTGCCAAACTGACACTGTAGCTGTAAAAAACATATTTGGAAAAAAAACATGGTTTTACTAGATGATTTGCTGCAGTTTTGGGATGGGCCTGGTGCTGAGATGGCGCATCATGCATTGAAACACAAACGGAGCTGGAAAATGCCAAGTTGCCCTTGTAGTTGACATGTTGAACTAGATGTGGTTCGATTTACTTAACGCAGCACGTGATGCATATGTATACATATTCGTTGAAAACCCAAGGCGGAGACGGGACAGAGCAACAAAAACCACTGCGTGATTTGATGTAGTTTGGTACAACGTACTTTGACAATGGAGGGGTAGGAGGCAAGGAAATAGGGCGGGGAAGGGAAGAGGACCTGACGTTGTGAGAAAATGCTAGAGCCACCACGCACCAGTTTGCAGTTGCAGCATTGGCACAGTGAAAACATGACCTAAACATGGTCACAATGAAAACATAACCCAAACGTGACACGGTGTGAACACGGGGTTGTCACTTAAATCCAGGCAGGCACCAAAGTGTTGACGCAGTGGAAACATGCTACAAACATTGCCGCAGTGAAAACGAAAAATCACTTAGACCCAAGCAGGCGCTTCGCTAGCCCGCTAGCATTGACACAGTGAAAACATGCCACAAACATTGCCGCAGTTAAAACTTGCCACACTGAAACCTTGACTAAAACATTGGCACGGCGAAACCATGACGCCATGAAAACATAGGGGGTTCCAATCGGCCATTGCGGAAAATGTGGCAACGCGACCCTGGCGCGACCCTGGCTGGTCGGTTTAAGGTGTACTCAGGTTTTTTAAAATTTGTTTAAAGGGTCGGTTAAAGGTTTCTCCAGGGTTGATTCAATTGTTTTGGGGCCCATTTAGGGTTGCGCAGGTTGCGCTGTTTTCTTTTCAAGTTGTCTTTTTTCGGGGGATTTAGTGTCTTTGATGTGATCTTATTTAGGGTTTATTTGCTGTCATGTTGGCTTCAGGTTTTTTAAAGGTTCGTTTTGGCCGGTCTCTTGAATTTTTTAAACATTACAAATGCGGAGAACATGTTACAGACATGGTTGCGCTGCCTTAGCCCAACACGTTCGCAGTTTGCGAACAGCACGCTGCGAAACAAAACAGAGACCGCAGTCTCGGATGGAATTTCATAGATAGATAAAGCACTGATATATTATATGATTTATATGTATGCCTGTTTGAAGAATACAGACGTGCGTACAAACAACCAAAGCTATGCATGCATGCATGCATGGATGTATGTTTGTTTGTCTGTCTGCCTGTCTGTCTGTCTGTTTGTCTGTCTGTCTGTCTGTCTGTCATTCATGCATGCATGCATGCATGCATGCATGCTATCTAATGTATGTAATGTAATGTAATGTAATGTAATGTAATGTAATGTAATGTAATGTAATGTAATGTATGCATGTATGCATGTATGCATGTATGCATGTATGCATGTATGCATGTATGCATGTATGCATGTATGCATGTATGCATGTATGCATGTATGCATGTATGCATGTATGCATGTATGCATGTATGCATGTATGCATGTATGTATGTATGTATGTATGTACGTACATGTGTAAGTAAGTGTGCATGCACGCATGTATGTACATACGCATGTATGTGTGTACGCATGTAAGTATGTTTGTATGTAGGCGTCCAATCATGTACGTAAGCGTGTAAACATGTAAGTAAGAAAGTAGGTAAGTAAGTAAGTAAGAAACAAAGTAAGAAAGTAAGTAAGTAAGAAACAAAGCAAGAAAGTAAGTAAGTAAGCATGTATGTCTGTATGTATGCATGCATGTATGCATGCATGTATGTATGTACGTATGATACATGTAGATGTTCAAACATATATATATATATACATACATTTAAACATGTAGATATGGTTATGGAGAATGTCTATATATTTTTTTAGATATGTATATCTATTTCAATATACCCACGCATGGTAAACATGTGCGTCGGAAATCGCAGGCACTTTGCTTTTGGCCGCTCTTCTGTGCAAACGCCTGACGCCACAGAGGGCATTTGAATGGAAGTACCCATCCGTCGCTGAGTTTTGGCCCATGTCTTTCTGTTTCAGAAGCAAGTTGGTGAATGCAGTCTACATCTTGGTTTTCACTGTGAAACATGTTTGACTGACCACCAGCACAAGTTCATGTTTTGCGTGACAC